ATTTCTAGTGTATCTATTACCCACTTCAATCCCCTCAATGCAATGATAGGGTGAAAAAATGCTTATGTGATGTGATAGTTAGAACTTCTGGTAATTGTTTTTTTTACCTAGAAGATGGTAAAAGACAAGATTTGATTTACCTTTAATGTTCACTTGAACAGGCAGATGGGACCACAGTTTAATATGTCATATGAAGGCAGGAACTTTCAACAATAGAGCACACTCCCAGTATTGCATTGGAGTGTCAGCCTTGACTGGAAGTTCCTATCTCTTATAGCTTAAATCAGGCGAGGACCTAGAAGACTAGCCCTGCTGATTTTCAGAGTCTGTTAAACTCTTAGAGCTCTGAGCAGCTCTGTCACCTCAACAGCACTCAAGGCTATAGAGGCTTCCTGTTGTTTTGAATAGTCAGAGCAACCCTTTGAGGGGACAGGGTGACGTTGACCATCTTACAACCCATTTGTTTGGCATGTATATGGTTGTTTTGGTATTTGCTGCTTAGAGCCATTATGGCTGGAGGGATCTTCTGTCTTGTGGTCAGACCAAAGCCACTCCATTCAGAAGCGACAAATAAGCATTTGGGAGCTGTCTCGGTATTCAGCATTCGTTTAATTGTGGTCTTATTACCTGAGGGATAAGGGGCTTCAACAGCTTGTGAGTCTGCATCTACCCTGTGAACGTGTTGCCATTTATTAAAGTGCAATCTTGCTTTACATCAATGAACTATTTATATTAATATCTTAAAACACCATGAACAAGGTAGCATAGATAATTATTGAATATTTCACTTTTCTTTTAAACATAGCTTCTACCTTTTTTCCCTCTGACGGAGTAATGACTGAATTTCCCACAAAATATAGTCAATTCATTTTACAGTATATTCTGTGAAGCACTTTGAGACGTCTCGAAAATGTGATAAGATGTTATATCAAATGCAAGGATTATTATTATTGTTATAATTGTATCTGAAAATGATCTAAGCCCCAGTTTTACCCAGATATGCAAACAGAAATGTTAGGGATATATGGATATTCAGCAAGGACCAGATCAGGGTTACTCCTCAGTGTTGCACAAGGGTATCAACGTAAATTAGCTCAAGTCCCAACATGTGGCTTGAATCCATAACCTTCTGACCTATAGACAAGAATGCTACTAGCTGAACCAGGCTGACACCTACCAACAGGTATTTGCATTTGGGGAGTCGTTGGGAGGCCAGTCATTTTTGAGATGTCTAAACGTGATAAGGCACTAATCAGATGCAAGAATTATTAACTCACTTCCAGAGAAGAGGGGAGAAAGGGGAAGAATATTAGGGGAGACAAAATAAAGACTATTTGATTGATTTGAGAAAACAAAGATCTTGCTGTAAAAACCTGGACTAGAAAATAAATACCACCTGTTAAAGTACAAATATGTCCTCCCCTTCAATGGTGTGAGTGCAGACTGATGAAGAGATGAGCCATCCAGAATGCTTTCCAGCAAAGTGACTGTCCTTCTTTAAGATGAACACTGAATAATTCTTCAGATTTGACAGTGTTGAAAAAAAATCCTGAAGGTGAAAGCTTGCGACTGGTGGAGTAATTAACAAGTAGCATTCAGTGCTTTGAAGCTCAGTACTTTGAAAAAACGTATGGGTTCTAAAGTACAATACAGTACAAAATGACATTTGTAAAGTACCTTTCTCGTCGGGAGGACGTCCCAAGGCCCTGAACAGTCAGGGATTAGGACCCGGGGGTGTAGGTTGGGATCAGGGAGCGTGGAGGGCAGAGAGAGTAGGAGGGTGCCCGAAAGCATGGTCGAAGAGGAGGGTCTTAAGGCATGCCTCGAAGAAGGCAAAGGAGGGAGTGAGGCAAAGGGAATGTGGTATAGAGTTCCAGAGAATGGGGCCAGAGTGGCTGAAAAACCAGCTGCCGATGGTAGGGCGGGACGGGCGGGGAAAATGGATCAGGCCAGAGCCTGCTGAGCGGAGGAGAAGACAGGTTGATAAGGGGTTTACAGGTTGGAGAGGTAGGAGAGTACGAGGCCATGGAGGGCCTTGAAGGTGAGGACGAGAATTTTGAACTCTATCCTCTGAAGAATGGGAACCAGTGGAGCCGGGCGAGGGTGGGTGTGGTGGGGTCACTGTGTCTGGTGTGGGAGAGGACATGAGCTGCAGAGTTCTAGATGATCTGCAGCTCGTGGAGGGAAGAGTTGGGGAGGCCGACGAGCAGGACGTTGCCATAGTCGAGCCTGGATGTAATGGAAGGCACGTATGAGGGTTTCGGCAGCCTGAGGGGTGAGGCAGTGGCAGAGTCGGGCAATGCTGAGGAGGTGGGGGAAGGCAGAGCAGGTTATGGCACTGATGTGGGGTATAAAGGACAGTTTAGAGTCAAACAGGACACCTGGGTTCATGACTGGCTCAGTGAGGTGGAATGTGCATCCATGGATACTGATGTTGCCAGTGCCTGAGGTGAGGAGGCACTGACTGGAGCCAATCAGGAGAGCCTTAGTCTTGTTGAGGTTCAACTGTAGAAAGTTAGCTCTCATCCAGGACTTGATCTCTGACAGACAGTCAGTGGTCCTGTGGTCGAGGGTGGAGGCAGTGAAGTAGAGTTGGGTGGCATCCGCGAACATGTGGAAACTGATCCCATGTCTGCGGATGATGTCACCAAGAGAGAGCATATACAACAACAACAACAAGATTCCATTTATAAAGCGCCTTTCACGTCAGGAGGACGTCCCAAAGCGCTGAATATACAGGTTGAAGAGGAGGGGACCGAGGACAGAGCCCTGAGGAACACCACACAAGATGGTGCAGGGGCTGGAAGAGGATCCATTTGTGGAGACAAAGTGCAGCCAGTGTGAGAGATAGGATCTGAACCATTCAAGGACAGAACCATGAAGGTTGAGTTGAGAGGAGAGGCAATGGAGGAGGATTGAGTTGTCCACAGTGTCAAAAGCAGCAGAGAGGTCGAGGAGGACGAGGAGACAGAGGGAGCCCTGGTAACAGATGGACAGAATGTCATTTGTCACCTTGACCAGGGCTGTTTCCGTGCTGTGGGTAGTTTGTAAAATCCCGATCGGAGGGATTCATAAAGGGAGTGGCAGGAGAGGAAGGAGTGAAGCTGGGAAGCAACAACTCTTTTAAACCTTGGAAAGGAAGGGGAGTTTGGAGATGGGGGGATAGTTAGTGAGCAGGGATGGGTTCAAGCAAGGTTTTTTTAGGAGGTATAGTTAAAGCAGGCAGCAAAATGGTCTGCTTCCTCACTGCTCCAAAGAGGGGATATGATCTCTATGGTGACTGAGTGAACAGTAACCTCACTTCATTGTTACTAAAAACAGACTTTGATGTATTGAGACATTGTGAAGTTGTATCAGTTGTATGAATGTTGAATGTACAAATGTTGAACCCATGAATAAGAAACGGCCAAATGTTGTCTAATTGTAAATGTTGCTCCCCACTGCAATTGCTGATCCACTGATGTACGAATGTGTTAACTGATCCCCAGTGCAAAGTGTGCTTCTTATATCCTGTCGCTCAGTGCCAACTCCATGTCATTGCGGTGGAAAAGTATCCTGTGTCTTATTAGACATTCCATTCTGTGGAGACTAGCAGTGCCAAGGGATTAGGAGATTTAGTTGTTTAATTCGCTGCAGGCTGACTGTCAGCGCTGGTTACTGCCTTGACAAGGAGGTCTCTCTAAACTGTGAAAGGACCATCGGGGATTCAGCTTAATGATGTATTAAAAGATTACAAATCTCTAGTCATGATATGGTGGTGGTCCTATATGGAAGAATTAGACTTCAGTCCATTATTGCACTCCAATACTGCCTGCTGAGAATCTTGACAGTTATTTTTGCAGATATGAATTTAAAATAATTTTCAAATAATAATTTTATAGTCTTCAGATAAGAATGGGACACTAGAGTTGGAAAGCAGGAAACCCAACTAATTCCTAGTATCCTGATGCTGAAACATATGCATGTGGCTATCATGGGAGAGGCTTAGCTATGATGATCTAACTATGAGAGGCTTAGCTATATCAAGGTTGAATGATCTTCTGAACGCTCACTATCAGCAGCCAGAACTCCCAGGTCAGGGACACCATAGCTAATATCAGAGAAGAGCTCACTATTCAACAAGAATAATAATAATAATGCTTGCAGTTGATATAGCTCCTTATCACGTCTTCGAGTCTCAAAGCGCTTCACGAAATATACTGCAAATTGAATTGACTATATATTCTGTGGATGAAACGCAGCAGCCAATTGCGCACAGCAGTGTCCCACAAACAGTCGTGAAATTAGTGACCACATTTTTTTAAAAAGGATTATTACCCCCGGAAAAACAATCCGCCAATTGACTAAAAATGGGTTCCTACTTACTGCTAGGTAAACAGAGACGTGTGGAGTAAGGAAACTTACCCAAGGTATCGCTCTGCTGGGAATCAAACCTCTCGCTTGCGAGGCAAATGCTCTAACCACTGGACTCCACTGGTAGGATATAAACAACTGACCAGAACAGAACCTCGAGACATTTCCAAACCAGTCGTCCTGTAGCATATCCATATGAGATTGACAATGTAGTGCAAATAATTGCAATGCATTGAGCAATCAGTCACTATAGACTTATGTCCACTAGGAGCTGGGTGCTGTCTGTCAAAAACAATTTCATCCCCTTATGATGGCAGAGAAGATCTTATCGTGAAACAAGGCTGCATTCAAACCCAGTTCCTGATGGGGTGAAATTCTGCTCGTTGGTAAAGATAGCGACGTTGTCAATGGTTATTTTAAATTAGGAGTGGCCAACTTCCTTTTCTTCCCCAATTGATAAAGGCACATTATTAAAGTCAGTAACTTCAGTGACCTGAGGAATTTCTTACTTTAAAAGTGAAAGGATGGTGTAGCTAACTGCCCTACCCAGTTTCCAATATTTTAAATAAGCAGAAATAGCTTGTATTTTCAGCACAAAGTACTCTGCCCGCAACTAACCATGGAATTTCTCATCTTCCTGCCCCCAGAGATCGAAGCCAAGGAGGCATGTGATTGGCTGCGGGCAGCGGGATTCCCACAGTACGCCCAGCTATATGAAGGTGAGACACAGGAACGATGTGCAGTGACTGCACTTCCACACCGTTGCCAGCTAAAAGGTGTATTGAAAATAATCGCTTCTTTTCTGATATGGTAACTCTGTACATGTAACTCTAAAGTCTTTCACTTCACTTCAGTCCAGATTTTAATGTTATAATTCGAATGCAGCTAAAACCCCAATTGAATAATTATCAAGAATGACATTTTTCACATCACATCCCACAATCTTTGTTCCACTGCACTCCCCCTCGCCCCTCTCCCCATACACACACACAGTTGTACGATTTCAACTTTGGTGTTACAAGTAGTTATTTTTCAAGTATGTCAGAGTATTAATCTGGGCGATGTTTTGAAAGTGTGGTTGTTTTTGCTTTGACCCTTCATGCTGGGCTTTTTATTTTTTTTACTGCCCTTTTGAGACATCAGTAGAATATAGCAGGAGCCTGATGGGACTCACTGGCTCTCTTCTTTATATACAGCCCTTCCTTCCATTGATGACAGTCAGACCTCAAGACAATGAGCGAGCAGACGCCAGACGTTGTTATGATCTTGTCAAGTTTTCCTGGCCATTTTCTTCCTAAAATAAATGAATGGGGTGACGTTTGCGAGGTTTCGAAACACATTCCTTCTGATAATTATTAAAGAAGTTCATTATAAAATTACCTTAAATTTCACCACAGTATCTTTATCTATTTGAATTTACCTAAAAGATAATTTTTGATACTTAGAGATATCTTATATGTTTCTGCACAAAGAATAGTCACACCAAAATCATCAAAATCACTCCTGAAAATTGTTTACTTTCTTTGACTAATGGGTGTTTTTACTTGAAATTTATTTTGCAAAACTTATCTCCTTTTAAAAGTTTTGTTATTAAATTGACTGAATTCTTTTTTAAAAAATCATTGTAAAGAATTTAATTTTGTTAATTTGGTCAAAATAATTTTATTTAGTTTCTTTAGTGATCCAATTGTTAAGCTATTTCCTCAAGTGAAACAGAGCAGTACAAAGCAGAAAGTACCAGTTTTGTTCCTTGGTCTGGGCTGGTTTAGTATCTCAGCCAGTGAGGCAGTACAACAGGCCCCAGCATATGTGAAATAAAATCAACAACTTGCATTTATACAGCGCCCTTCACATGGGGTAGCGTTTTGGTTTAAGATGAAGTTTCTGGTTGAGATTGCTGGTTGAGACCAATGCTAGAAGGTATCAATTGTCAGTGTTGGTTGAGGGCCGAATGCTTTACTGGATGGACGATAGGTTTGGCACAATCTCCTTCAGCTTTTTCCTGTGGAAGCAGTAAGGTATAATTTTCAGAACGCATTCTCCTTTCTCTCTTTGACCTCCTCACCTTTAACATATTTTTATGCAAAGGCTTTAGAGAAGAGACATTTTTTCTGCTGGTGATTTACATGATGAAGAAATGCTATTTACTTTGAAGGAGTGGTTTGTCTGTTTTGCAGCACATAGGCAGCTAGTTTGTTTAATGGAGATGGCCTCTGGTAGTTTGGGAATTGTTTTTTTCACTGATGCATCTGTCTTGTTCCTACAACAGATTCGCTGTTTCCCATCGATATTTCTTCAGTGAAGAGAGACCATGACTTTCTAGATCGAGATGCAATTGAATCTCTTTGCAGGTAAGCGTTCAGCACATCACATACAGACACACACACACACACACACACTTCCCGGGTTTGGCACATAGTTTGGGTGTCTCTATCTATGTTCAATGTTGTTGCTGCCTGTGTTCACTTGTTTGTTGGACGTTGCTGGCTGCAAATTGACGGCGGCGTTCATCTAAAAATGTAATCACTACACTTGGCAGAAAAACTTTGTTAAGCCCTTTGAGATGTTCTGATGTGATGGGACACTGTATCAAATGCAAGAACTATTATATGAAAAACCTGTTGACTAATTAAAGACTTTTTGATCACAATTTTTTGCGATGTGATAATCTCGCATTGCACTTTTTACCCGAGTATTTTCAAATGTTTGTGCAGCACTTCTGTATAAATGTCTCTGTGTAACTGCATCAATGAAAAAAACAATTCCCAAAGTACCAGAAGCTCTCGCCATACAGGAATTAATGTTGTAACACAGAGCTAGTGTATTAAAGGGTATTGTTTGAGGTACATAGAATCACGTATAATCTTCTATGAGCAATAGAAAAGTGGCTTAAAGGCAATGTGTTGTTTTGGGTGAGTTTTATTAGAGATTAGATAATGAACTGAGTTACCAGAAATGCAGTAATAATAAAAGGTGCTTTCATTCCATTCCAACAATTTATCTCTGGAATTTGCATGTGTAGGTGGGTTGCATGGAATTCTCAGTTTGTTTTGGATACACTTAAGCATAGTGAAGGGACCAATGTGCTCAGACAGCTTTACCCAGTAATTCTCAATGTGTCGAATGGAACAATCCCATGTGTGTCAAATGTTTAGATGATATTATTGCTTTAAGGTGCCCCCAAATGATAAATACTAATGAGAAACATGTCAGAATGGAAACGTGTGGCATGTATGTAGTTCCTTACTGCACACGTGCCAGTGGCTTGGCAGCTGTACGGCAGGTTGTACAGTGTATTGAGATTAAATAAAGGGGCATCCTTTTCCGCTGTTCTTTAATGCAGCTGTGTTAATCACCTGGCATTGAATTTGTGGATGACATTCAACACAAACATTCAATGGGATGACCCAAAAGTATACCTGACTGAATGTTAATAATGATAATCCTTGCATTTGATATAACACCTTATCATGTCTTCGAGATTTTTCAAAGTGCTTCACAGAATATACTGTGAAGTGAATTGACTGTATTTTATCATCAGACCTGAATTCTATTCATTGCCTATTCTGTTCCTTCTGTGTTTGGCTTGGGATGTGCAACTGTGCAAAGCAGTGCTTTCATTAAACTCCCATGATTGGAGCAGATTTAATGCAATTCAGGCTTCAATGTGATCCGAGTGAGAAGGTTGCAGGGTCAGAACTCTGAGCTCCTAGTGGAGGCTGACACTCCAGTGCAACAACAAACTTGCACTTATATAACACCCTTCATACGGGTAGCGTATCAGAGCACAGGGCAGTGCTTGGGAAACGCATCATTGTCAGAAGTGCCATCCTCCAGGTAAGATGTTTAAACCGAGGTCCCAGCTGCTTGTTCGTATGGATGTTAAAGATCTCGGGCCACTATTCAAAACAGCAGTTTTTCCAAGTGTCTTTGCCAACAATCTTCCAGAGAACAAAGTTGGTCATTCACTTCTTGGCTGTTTGTGGGACAGTGGCGCGCAAACATTGGCTGCCACGTTCACCTACAAAATACAGTCACTACACTTTTTAAAAATAAACTCTGTAAAATGCTCTGAGATATTTTAACATGGTAAGCACTTGTCACATGTAAGGATTATTACATGATGATAAGACGCTTATCAAATGTAAGAATTATTATTATTATATAATTATTATTTAAAGAACAGGATAGTTGTAAGAAACACTGTCAATGTAAAGTATTCCCTCCCCACTCGCCACCACCCTCATCCAGTTTGCCAATGACCTGTAAGAAATCTGATTTTTAATCTCCAGCCCTCCCTCCCCCACCCACAGCTCTATAGAGCCTGTGTACTCTATCAGTACTGACACTGACATCTCTTGATCTGGATCCAGGAGTATAAAGAATGCTGATCCCTGCTGATTGTAAGGAGCCGCTCACTGATGGAGCCCACAGCTAACATCAGCTGAGCAGCGCTGATGAGCTTCAGATCTGTTATGTTTAGTATCTGGAGCTGGGGAAAAGGGATGAATTAAAATTCACATTTTACTTGCCTTAGAACAGAAGTAATAAAATATCATTTTCTAATAACTGGATGGGTGGGGAGGGAAAGAAAGGTGAGTTTTTTATATTGAGTGGGGGCTGTGTATATTACATTGAAAGCTCCTTCCTTTACCTCCCAAAACACACGTCCTCAAAGCTTGCTGTATTTCTCCATGTGCAACAATGTTGAGAATGCACCAGTGACAAGATTATTATTATTATATTAGAAATCATCATCCAGATGTCTCAGACACCCGGCTGACGGAAATAATTAGCAATCATTAACTGCAGTGATTTTGGATTCATGGTTTTTTTGGAAGGGTGGTTAGATAGACCGTGAAGATAAAGCACTTAAGATACTTTGTAGCATTTTAGAAGAGAAAGCAATGGGGTAGATAAGAAATTAAATCATTGCGTGCACCGCTTCTTCCGTTGCTGGAGGAACTAACGCATCTGTGCTATGCCTTCTGCTTTGTTTACCTTCCAACTGACTGCCTCTATCGCTACAGACATACGGCTTATCTGCCCCAGCTGTTTTGCGCGGATGTTGACACACAATAAAATGATCAAAGGCCTCCTTATCAGCCTGGCTGTATGTATTTTTTGTTTTCAAGATGAAAGTGGTTAGGTTGATAGTGTCAAGGAGCGTGCTTGCACGAGACGAGCGGAGGGGAGGTGTAACCTGTGAGAGGGGAGGTGGCGCTTGTGTGTTGAAGTTGTAATGGGAATGACTGCACCTGACGTGAGCTAATAACTAGCCTAAGGGTGGCAGCTTGATACAAGACAGAGATCATAAAGTTTTAAGGTGTGCAGCTGGAGAGATGAGATGAGGTGCACGTGTGGAAGAAGTCAGGAAGCACTTTGACTCTTGATACTGTAAGACAACATATAGCACTGGCATAAGGACTTCAAGAAGAGCACGTGAGTTGAGCAAGATCTTAATACATGTAAGGATTAATAAGATAATATGAAGCAAAATATTCCTTGCATTCGATATAGAGCCTTTTCACGTTATCAAGATGCTTGAGTCCAACTTCTCAGGATTTTAAACGAGTGTGTAATGACTATTAATTTGTTAGCGAACGTGGCATCAAATTTGCTCACAGCAAAATCCCACAGACAAAATCCCACGAAGTGAATGACCGACCAACATTATCTGCCAACTGCAAAGTGAGGTATCGGGATTCTTTTCTATTTTTAATGTATTCATTTGGGTGTGAATTTTATGGTTTATAATTCCTCAAAACAATGTAAAATGACCCCTTGAATGGAGACGTGTGTACTCGCTGTCAGAGAGGTTACCAGGGAAATGGGACAGGCTGTGCTGCAATCCAAATGGTGCATTGATCCTTTTGTGCTGAATGTTCCCTACAGCAGAGTCATTATCCATTGAGCATAATGGATACTAATTGGAGCCTTTCACACACACATTTACATGTAGATGAGCTACACAAGGAGCTGTGTAGTGCACATTCATGGGGAGAAGGGGATGTTGTCCTGCTCGGTTTAGCTTGTCTATACAGTATTAATTGTCTCTTCTCTCTTTCAGACGATTAAACACGCTGAATAAATGTGCCGTGATGAAACTAGAAATCAGCCCACAGAGGAAAAGGGTAAGTTTGACGTCCGTGGAACTCTTGATAAGATTTATTGATTTTATGTTTTGTCAACATGCCGTGTGTTTGAAATATCCAACCTTTTTTTTCATATTAGCCTTGAAGTGCTAGCTAGCCACAACATTTGGTGTACTCCCATGGTAGAGCTTCTGTTTATTGAAAAGTTAGTTAGTTATTTGCTGGCTCAGTTGGACTTAGCACTCTCACCTCAGAGTCAGAAAGTTGTGTATTCAAACCCCACTCCAGGTCTTTGAGGTCATGGTCTAGGGCAACTAACACTCAGATGCAATGAGGATTCAGCACTACATTGTTGGAAGTGCTGTCCTTCAGATGAGACAAATCAAAGTCCCCTCTATCTGTTCATATGTACATCAAAAGATCCCATGGTATTATTTCACCCACAAATATACAGTCAATTCACTTTACAGTCTATTCTGTGAAGAGCTTTGAGATGTCTAGAAGATGTGATAAGGCGTTATAACAAATGCAAGGATTATTATTATTATTTATTATTGGAAAAGCGAAGGGAGTTTTTCCCAATGTCCTGGCCAACAATCTCCCAGAGAAAATAACTGGTCATTCGCTTCATAGCGTGGAATTCAATATCCCCTAGTACTCACTGTAACCTTGATGTGTTTATTGGGGTTTAGCTGTGTTTTTAATGGTAGATCAAAGAATAACAACAAGACTCTTTACTCAAACTCTTAAGTTATAAGGAGAGAATCATGGAGCTAAACTTGCTTGAATTGGGAAAGAGATTGGAGGAAGGTATGATCCAATCATTGCAATTTATTCCACCATGAGAGCAGCATTAGAGGGCATTGGTTTAAAATGAAAAACACCTCTGATATCTCCATGGAGTAATAATAATATAATAATCCTTGCATTTGATATAGCGCCTTATCACATCTTCTAGACATCTCAAAGCGCTTCAAGAATATACTGTAAAGTGAATTGACTGTATATTTTGTAGGCGAAAGTTATGTAGCTCAGTTCGAAGTATATAATAGTTATTGGATTCTCCTATGTTTCTGCATTGAGCGTTAAAGTACCTTTGTGGACTCTCTCTCTGTAGCCCCAGCTGAGACCAGCAAACTGAGATTCAAACCACAGAGCTCCTGATCTGTAAACTGCAGCTCCAGCCACTACCCCATCAGGATTACCTCGTATATTGTTGTTGACAAGGGCAGCTACAGTAGTCTTCTGTCACCTGGAATTGTGGAACACAGTGATATCTCCAGTGTTGTATTTCATTGCCTACAAAGGAAAGAATACATAAAATGCAGGCAATACTTGATTGCACTGCTGGAGCTAATTCCTCTCTGGTCAGCCCTCCATAGGTGGTCAGTGCCCCTGCCCGCTTTTCTGGATTGCTTTTGTCTCAGAATCAGTGACAGAAGTTTACCTAGACAAGACTGTATTTGACATTCCATGCACTTCACTTGCATTTCTCACTGTCATTCTGTAAGCCCTACTCCGTGCTTGTAAGGCTGCTGTTCGACAAGTCAAATGAACTAACAATAGTCCCCGTTGACCTTCGAAATGGGGGTAAGGGGTGAGATTACTTTTTCATTCTTTTTGATGATGCTTTGCTCAAACAGGAATGTAATGTAAGAATGCTACAACTGTTCTTAACACTCTTTCCCTTCTTGCTCTTGTCAAATTGTTCTATTTAGTGATCAGCGGCAAGTTCCCATGATTAAAGATTGGCACAGATAAAAGATCGCACAGGCATTTGCCGCCATAGAGACAGATTTGTAAAACAAGTGTGCTTCATGGTGTAATCTTGCCCAACATCTAGCTTCAGTAAATACAAACTGAGATCAAAGCTTTGCCTTGGCTTCAACTGTTACGCAGTGTAAACATCAGTAATAGAAAGTTCCAGAAAACCAAACATGAAGCGCATTGCAATCCTGTTTGCTGGACGTGACTTTTACTGAAATACCTTGTAGCATGTATTTTCTTTTAAACCTTCCCATTTCTTTCAAAATGTTCCTATATATATATTTACAGTATTTTCATTGTGGTACGTCACAATTGTTTCTCTCTGTCCTGCTGTTTAATATATTTGGATTTATTTTCCAAACATCATTGATAGTTGTATTAGAACAACAAAATAATAAAACACATCAATAAGATTGGCAGAATGGTTCTCCATCCTTAGAATGGTTTTAAACAGGTCTTATAACTTCCCAACATTTACACAGTGACTTATTGCTTAAAGTCTTTGGAAAGTATGGGGTGAAATTTGCAACACTTCTGCTAAACATCATTACTTTCAATGAATAGCTAAAGACTAGCTAAATCATGACTAGTAATCAATAGATGGAGAGGTTAACAGAAGGTTTCTTTTAAATAGTGTTATTAGGACATAGAACTCTCGACAAAAGACAGTGGTTGAGGTAGTTGGCACAATAGGTTTTAAAAGGAATGGGACAAAAATACTTGGGTCTGGGATTCTTCCAACCGTTTCTTGTCAATCCAGCAAGTCAAAGCCCACTTAGGTAGATTGGTCCTTGCTGGACAACCAGTGGGAAGCTTGTCAGTGTTTGCAGTGACAAACGGGATTTTAGCTGGTTAAACTCCAGCAGGATTCCAACACACACACTCTGGGGTCCTCAAGCTTTGGATCTTACCAACCTGTGTTTAAACTCTCCAAGATGAGAAAAGCAAGGTATATATTCTCACTGGGGAGTGACTGCACACTCCATGCCAGACAAATGGAAATGTAGATACATATTGAAACACTTAAGTAATTTGGTTTGGATAATTCTAAGTTTAATGACGGGTTTTCACATTTGTTAGGCACCCGCATGAGCAAAAAAAAATTTATGATGAAAAATATAAAAGGGTATGAGAAAAGGCAGGGAGTGAAACTAAATGGATTGGACTTTCAAAGAGCCAGCACAGGCACAATAGACTGAATGGCCTTCTGTAGTGGAAATGTCTATGATTTGTATAATAATTGGGCCCAAAACCAGCTTAAAGATTTCAGCAATGCCATCACAGAAACACAACACCCAATTGGGCAAGTTTCCTTCCTCCACATGCCTCTGTTTACCTAGCAGTAAATAGCAACCCAGTTGTTAGTCGATTGGCGGATCGCTTTTCCGGAGGTAATAATTTCTTCAAAAAAATAATAATAATAAAATTGGTCATTCAATCCATGACTGTTTGTGGGACACTGCTGTGTGTGATTTGCCCACAAAACATAGTCAATTCACTTTACAGTATATTCTACTTTGAGACGTCTCGAACACGTAATAAGGTGCTATTTCAAAAACATGGAAGGATTATCATCCCTTCATAAATTACTAATCACAAGCAGCCAGAAAGAGAATGAAAAAACATATTAGTCATTTGACACGTCAGGCAAAAGCACCTTTCTTAAATTGGAACTCACCTAATTTAAGTTGCTGTGCAATTTTATTTATTGTGACCTGGCTTTCATAATACATGGTGCTTGAAGTCTGAGAACAGGAATTAAACAGTGTTAAATTACAGAGCTCTGGGTCAGGGCTGAAACTCCCCAGGATACTTTTGCAGTGTCATCTGTGGCAAGATCCTGGGGGCATAAACTGTGGAGATTTAATAGCTATGTGTCGCCAACTCTTTAGTCACAGTTTGGAGATATAGAAGTCTCGAGACAAGTACCATCATAGACAATATTAGACAAAGCTTTGTGCTGTGCCTTGGAAGTACCATTAAGGGAATTATAAAACACAAATAGGCTTCTTTTACAATGTAGCTGCTGTAGAATGGCGCTGGGTTACTTTATTGAGCAGACACTAAGATGTAGAACACTTGGTTCTCTCTATGTGTTAGTATCAGTGAAGTGTCTGTGTGTGAAGTGTGGTTCTTGTTAGGTGCAGTGCTATAGTATTAAGTGTCTTTGACATTTTATGTTACTGGCATCCTTTGATATGTCTCTTCTCTCACCACCTCCTCTCCTGACTCAGATTAGAGTATAGTTATACAGAGGCCCCAGCACTTTCCACTACCACACCCTAGTGGTTATTGTTCACATGTGAGCCCATCAGTGAATGTCAGCAGGCTGTGGGGCATTTTGCAGCCAGACCTGACCCTGTACTCACGCAAAATCCACACACGAGCACTTTCCAGCAAACGTCAGAGATCAGCAGCAGGACTGAGACTGATTAATTTTTCTCCTGCCTCGTCCAGAGGGCAGTGACACCAATCACAGTGCCATTACTTTAGCCCTGACTGAGATCAGACAATTTAGCAGAGACAGGGAAGAAAAGCAATCTTCTGATTCTCATGGGTTTGTGCAAAACTAGGCAATATACTCTGGTGTAGATTTTCCAACAAAGGGTCTCTGGATTGTGATCAAATCTGGCAAATCCAATAGGTATCATGGACCAACTTCAGGCCTAACCATTGTGACAGAGTCAGGTGGAGTCTCATCTGTGAATGGTGGGGAAACATTGCATTGTTGAAGGTGTCGATCTTCGGTTGAGAAATTAATGTGAGGTCCCGTCTACCAGTTCAGGTGGACATTGAAGATCCCATGGCACTATTAGAGAAGGGAGTTTTCCTACAAAATGCACGGTCACTACACTCTATAAGTCCAGTGCTTTGAGATGCCCTCCAGATGTGCAAGGCTATATCAATTGCAAGGATTATTGTTATGTTTCGAGTGCTTACCTCAACACTTCTGTTTTTTTTAAAAAAAGGAAATCACTCAATACAACCTCTACATAACTGGAATTCTCTTCTTTTCAGAGTGAGGACTCTGATGAGGACGAGCCTTGTGCTATAAGTGGCCGGTGGACGTTCCAGCGGGACAGCAAGAGGTGGTCACGGTTAGAGGAACTGGACGTCTTTGCTCCCAAAGAGGTGAGAAGCGACTTCTCTGCTGAAGAAGCCCTGCTGAAGAATGCACTGAGTCACGAGAGCATGCTGACGGATCTGAGTGAACGTCAGGAAGTGGCGTCCATTCACAGCGCCAGCAGCGTCGGAAGCAATGGAGCCAACCCGCAGAAGGACACGGAGAGCAAAAGGACCAATTCCCAGACCAGCGTGATTTCCTCAGGCAACTCTCTGACCAACGATGACTCCTTCAGCAACCTCCCTTCTCCAAAGGAGTTGGCCAATTTTGCTTTCAGCGCCAAAAGTGAAAGGAACCCAAAGTCCAAGGCTAAGAGTTTCTTGAAGAGAATGGAGAGTTTGCGCATCAAGACTTCTCACAGCAAAAAGAAGCTTCCTTCCAAAAGCAACCTGGTCATCAGCGGTCCTGTGCTGCAAGAAGGGATTGACGAAGACAAGCTGAAACGCCTCAACTGTGTTGAAATATCTGCGCTCAATGGCAACCACATCAACATCCCTGCGGTACGGAACAGAAGCATCTCTTATTCTACGCAGATGAGTAGCAGCAGTAGTCAGTCAGAGACAAGCAGTGCAGGCAGCACCCCCAGCCCTGTCATCAGAACACGTAGCCACAGCGCCAGCAACAAGCGAAGCGGCATGTACCTGGAAGGCTTCGACCCCTTCAGTCAGTCTACACTGAACGACACCAGGCAGCGGAACCTGAAGAATGAGAAGAGGGTAGAAGAGGACGTCATCTTCTACATCCCTGAGGATCACAAGCCGGGCACCTTCCCCAAAGCACTTTCTAATGGCAACTCCTCCCCAGCAGAGAGCGGCTCAGTCAGCTGGGGAAACCGGAGCCTTCCCGGTCACGGCCATCGGAGCCTGACCAGGGAGAGCAGTGCCGACAGTTCCAAGGAGTTCAGCCTGGGCCGCAGACGAAACTCCTGCAGCTCCTCAGGCAGCCGTCTCAGCATATACGATAACGTGCCAGGCTCCCACCTCTACTCCAGCACTGGTGATCTGGCCGACCTGGGGGGCGAGGAGGACATTTTCCCTGAGCTGGATGACATCCTGCACCATGTGAACGGACTGCAGAGGATTGTGAACCAATGGTCAGAGAAGCTCTCCGATGAAGGGGATTCCGATTCAGCGATGGATTCAGTTTCTCCCTGCCCGTCCTCCCCCAAGCAGATACACTTAGACATCGAGAACGGCAGAACCTCACCCAGTGACATCGACAGCACCGGGACCTCCATCAATGAGACCGAGGAGATGGCAGCGATCCGAGAAAGAAGAGACTCAGGAGTAGGCGCATCGCTGACCAGATCTAACAGGTCAGTCCAGTCATTTGTTAATAATTTTGTAATCAGGCACGTAATTGGTCCTGTACTTTCAAAGATGGAACTACAATAAAAGATTTCAGCACCACAATGAGAAATACAGGGACATTTTAATTTATTGGATTTGCCTAAGCACTGTAGCAATAGAATCATAGAAATTTACAGCACAAAAGGAGGGCCATTCAGCCTGTTGGGTCTGCACTGGCTCTCCAGAGTAAGCTTTCCATTTAATCCCAATGGCCCCTTCAAGTTGTGCCCATTTTTTGTCCACATCCCTCTTGAAACCCACAATGGACTCTGCCTTTACCTACGTCCCAACAACTTCCTGTGTGGGAAATAACTCTTCTTTTGTGATCTGCTTTACTCAAACACTAGCGTTCTGGAGTCAGCTTTTTAACACACTTCTACTATTGAACACAAATTGCATGGAGTAAAATTTGTGATGTTTTGTAAAGCACTCAAGATGATAACTTATATCAAACAAGTACTGAACATTCACTCCTTACTTCCAAACGTGCAAATGAAATTCCAATCAGAGAAGAGTAATGCTTTGTATCAATAAACCTCTTAATCCTTTTTGACTATTTGTTCAAATTGAACCTAATTGCTCGCCTATTTAGTAAAAAACAGATAAGCCACTAATTTACATATTATTACTTATCCAAACAGACGCCAGAGGTTACGATGGAACAGTTTCCAGATTTCGCACAGACCAAGCTTAAATTCAGCCTCTCTACAGATCAACAGCCAGTCTGTGGCTCAGATGAACCTCCTGCAGAAATTCTCACTGTTGAAGCTTACTGCTCTGATGGAAAAATATTCACCTTCTAACAAGCATGGATTCAACTGGTAGGTCCTAGAATATTCAGAATACAAACACAGGACTCTGTACTAGAAAACTGGTTGCTTCATGGCTATTTGGGGGACTTTGCTGTGTGCAAATTGGCTGCCACATATTCATAGTCACCACACTTCAGAGTAACTCTTGTGCACCGCATTGAGACATCTCAACAACATGATAAGGTGCTATATCCATGCAAGTATTATTATTATTATTACTAGCAGCATGTACCACAGACCAATTCATTACAACCTTCAGATTGCTGGCACTGAAAGAATACACAAGGTAGAAATTTCACATGGGTCTAGATTTAGATTTCTTTCTTAGCATTTCAGAGTGGACAAATTTAGGACAACTCTTGAATTCAGTATTGAAGATTGTTTTCTATGGGTTATTTTCCTCACAGGAAGCCAGCTGGGCCCCGCTGCAAGTGGACTGCACTTTTAGTAAACGCACAGGTCTTCACGACCCCCAATATTACAAGTCAACTCGAGCTTCAGTGAAACATATTAAACCAAGCTTCCCCTGTATCCAATCTCTCTCTAGTCCCCTCCCCTTCTGCATTACTATGAAATAGCCTTAGGAGAGAGGTCAGCCATTATTGTTACTGTTGCACTTGGTGGAACTTGTTATATGAGATGTGGGTAAATGGTGTGACGTTTGGTCCAAATAAAATTCATTCTTTTCCAGCAAATCGACTGCTGCAGTTAAAACTCCCCCAGTGACATTCTATTTTTGTGTGGTTATTTATATTGCCAGAGCATTAGGAACAGCAAGGTCTGCTCCCTATTAAGTCAGCCAGTTGTAGCTTGGCAGTGATACACCAGTGAACCTCTGCCCCACAAGGCCCGCCCGGATTAACCTCTGCTCTGTTTGCATGCTGTGAGCAGGGTCTCAGGAGAAGACAGGATTATGTGGTGTCATGTTTTTGTTTGCCCTGACCTCGTGCTAAGAAGTGACGGTCTGAGTGACTCATGCATGCTGTTAATAGCCCGTTGCAGGGCATGAATTCTAGGAGCTTCGGTCTTTTGCACTCCTTGTGTTCTTTAGATGGGAACGGAGAGGGGAATATCTAAATATTAAATATAAAAACTGTGTGGAAGAAGCTGCTAGAGGGCTCTCTTTGCTGCAGCATCTAAAGGAATGACTGAGCAGCAGCAGTCACCTCAGTTGAAGTCTGCTTCACACGGTGACACTGTCCCTTTAAGAAAAAGGACTCTCAGCCTTATGAAATACTTCTAAATAATATTTGCATTTGATATAGTGTTGTATCTAGTTGCGATGACTCGCAGTGCTACACACAACAAAATATTCTCAAGTGTAGAGGCTGCTATCTAGACAAATGCAAGAGGTTATCTATGATGGTGTCAACCCACAAAGTGCAATTTACCTGTTTGTTTAGAAATTTATGGCAGAAAAGGTCATTCAGTCCAACGTTTCTGTGCTTTCTCCCTCAAGAGCAATCTGTTCAGTGCCATTTACCTGCCCTTTCCCCATAACCCCTGTAGGTTACACTTTTTAAGGTAAAACGAGTTTGGATGAGGTGTGGAATATTTTCCACTGCCCTGGGTTATCTAACGTCCACCACAACTAAGGTGGGAACTCGGTTCAATGGCTGACCTGAAGGACGAGTTGTTTGGCCACTTCTCCATTAATAGCACCGCCACACACCCTCCATTCCACCTTCTTCACAGGCACTGCAAAAACATCCTTCACTGTCAGGTTAAGCTCTCTTCCAGGAGCTGTTTACGACTTTGAGTATGGCCATGTTTTGTTCCCTGCTCTGACAATGCTTGCATTGTGTGCTTATTGAATAATGTACTGCACACGTGATTCGAGGTATAGAGCGACTCCATATTTTGTTCCATTCACACTAGTTAAAGCTGTGCAAGAGCTGCTGAGCTCATTTTTGTTTCAACGGGGGAATTTTGTGGCAACCTGTTCTTGCGTTGGCAATATCTGAACCTTGACATCAGCTGCAGAGCAGTTACAGATGGGAGCAGGGCATACTGGCTGCCTTAGGGTTTAACAGAGCCAATCTCTGGTTGCACAAAACCCACATTGTCAGCCTAGTTGTTCTGTCCAAATCTACAAGAAGCTGCATCATTGAGAGCTGTAGAATAGTAGGCTTCAATTTGCTTTGGATACAAATCAAGCAAAGATCACTTTTGTTTTTCGCCCAGAGCTCTGAGAGGTGTTGACAGTAGAACACATCAGTAGTGTAGCCAGCAGAGCCTCGCGGCTGTTTGATGTTTCAGCAGTATTTTTCTTAGTTCAGTATCAGATTGGATTACAGACAATTGCGGAATGGAAGCGGATATTGGTACTTCGCGCAAATGCCAAAAGGAGCCTTTAGTCCCGGCAACAGCAATAATAGAAGGAAAGCAAAACAGCTCATTTAAAATAGTAAATCCGAGTAAAGATAATTACTTTTCAAATATACAGAATCATCAAAGGCCCAAATTTCTACCCAGTTTTAGCCTGGAGACTGTTTTGCCTTCAAAAAATTTAAGATTGCGCAGAATTGAATTTCTCCAATTCAGTTTTAATTTGGAAAAGGGTTTTCTATGGTTCTTAAAAAGAACCAGCTAACAGATTAAGTATAAATCAAAAAATTCCACTATGTTATATTTTAAGACAAACTGCGCATTTAGGCTGAGACTAAATAAAATTTCAAGCTTCAGAAACTTTACAGATCAGAAGAAATCCATTCGACCCATTGTCAGTGCTGGTGCTAGGCATCTACTGGAAGCACCCGTTTTAAGCCTGCCCATTAATAATAATCCTTGCATTTAATATAGCGCCTTATCACGTCTTTGAGATGTCTCAAGGAACTTCGCTGAATATACTGTAAAGTGGCGTGACTGTATATTACATGGGCTCTATCTCTGTGTCTGGCAGAGCTACACCTGTATTCACATTGCTCCCCACTCACTGTCTTCCAGGGCCGTGCCGAAGTTTATGAAGAGAATCAAGGTTCCGGACTATAAGGACAGGAACGTTTTCGGGGTTCCTCTGCTGATCAATGTTCAACGCTCAGGACATCCACTCCCTCAGAGCATCCAGCAAGCCATGCGTTATCTGCGCAGTCAGTGCCTGGACCAGGTCAGTGTCCTGTTCAACACACCTTCATTTAAATGGGTGACTATGATAGTTTATCCGAAATCCCTGAGAGAGTAAATTACTTGCTCTCAATATTGACTGCAGTGGCTGTTTTTTCTCTAACCTAATTTTATGAGGCTGCAATTGGCATTTTATTTGCAGACAAGAGGAAAAAATAGCCATCACATCTTACTTTATAAAAAGGTCTCACTGGGAAGCAAAGCTCTCTGTGATACCAGTATTCATCGCTTTCCCCTCTATCCCCCTTTCTATAAACAGGTTGGATTGTTTCGGAAGTCTGGAGTTAAGTCCCGAATCCAAGCCTTGCGGCAGATGAATGAAACGTGTACAGATGGCGTGAACTACGAAGGGCAGTCTGCGTACGATGTGGCAGATATGGTCAAGCAGTATTTCAGAGATCTACCAGAACCTCTGATGACCAGCAAGCTCTCCGAAACATTCCTGCAGATCTACCAATGTAAGTCAGACCCACGGAAAGGAGTGCACGGCTTGGGAGAAGCTCGATGACTGAAACAATTGGTATTGGATAGCCAGTTAGCAGGATATTCTCTTAAAATAAACAGTCCAAAAATAACTTGAGTAATAGCTTCACTAAAGGAATTTATAGGCACACTCTCTCGAAAGAGTAAGCTATGTGTCTTCCTCGAGTTCAGCCTGAGCACTTTGTTAATGAGGGAGAGGGATTCTGGTGGTCACGTGCACCACAATTTCATAAGCAGTTTCTAAATGTCCGAATGTTGAAATGTGCTGGTTGATTTTTACCGAGGGAATGTTTCGCGGGCAGTGTATAGGGTTTCAGGAAAGTGTCAGGATTATTTTGTTGTTGCCCAGATCCATTTCAGGGTATTGTGCGGTCAACGTGTTGCATGGGCAAAACAAAGCATCCCTGGAGAGGATCCTCAATCATCAACTGTCTCTTTTTCCTTATCCTCAGGGACGCATCAGCTAACTACATTTCAAATCAAAAAGAGTTGGTGGGAGGGTGGGGATTTTTGTTTTCGATAAGCATAGCAAGCTCGGATTTTGTGCTGAGCAGTGCTATCTGCGTGCTTGCAGTGCCCCAATCCTAAATGAGTGTCAAAATTCTAGCCAGTCACCCTAAAGGTTTGGTTACTAAAACAGTTCTGGGATCAAACAAACTGGGAAGATCTCAGGTTCAATCCTCTACTTCTTGCGGACCCCACCTGGGACTACCTATACGTTTGGAACACCTACTATTGTACTGATGACCTGAGGCAAAGGAAGAGCAGCCCGGAATCCAGCTGCAGATCCAGTTTGTGTCTACCTGCTGGAAAGTGCCAATGTGGCCACTGCATGAGGCTGGATTAGACCCGGATGGGATGCTCTCCATAGCTAAATAACCTGATCTAATTCATCTCACATCTGAAGAATGGCCACTAGGGTGTGTATCTGAAGGCTAGCAGACACTTAGGAGAGCTGCACTCTAGCAGTAGTCAGTGCCTTTAGGAGAGGGAGAGAGGAATCTCCAGGGCAGGGGAAAACACAGATGGGAATCAAGCACAAATCTTAGATAACTGAGAGAAACTCCTGTTGTAGAAATGTTCTCCTTGCTGCAGTCACTGACTTTCAACACTAACATGTGCCACAGACGTCCCGAAGGACCAGCGTCTGCAAGCGATCCAGGCTGGCATCATGCTGTTGCCCGATGAGAACCGAGAGGCTCTGCAGACTCTGCTCTACTTTCTCAGTGACGTGGCAGCCTTGGTGGAAGAAAACCAGATGACGCCAACAAACTTGGCAGTGTGCCTGGCGCCTTCACTCTTCCACCTCAATACTCTCAAGAGGGAGAACTCCTCCCCCAGGTAACAAAAGCCTTTTTTTAATTTTTGAGTGATAACGAGCTTGTTATTTCAGGGCAAAGTCGTCTCTACTTCTGGTTTTAAGTGCATACAAAGATGGAGATTAGTAACACACTGGCATACATCCCAGGAGATTAGCAATTTACACACATGTACGCAGTGGAACATCAATAACGTAGAAACACCAGTGCTGAGGGCAGATCTGTGGGCAGAGGGCAGATTTGTGGAGTCCTGTAGCTCAGTGGTTAGAGCACTCGCTTTGCAAGCGAGAGACCTGAGTTCAATTCCAGGCAGGGCGAAACCTTGGGCAAGTTTCCTTACTCCACACGCCTAATAATAATCCCTCCAAAACAACAAAACAATAATAAATTGGTCATTTTCAATCTACGACTGTTTGTGGGACATTGCTGTGCGCAATTGGCTGCCGCATTCGCCCACAAATATACAGTCAATTCACTTTACAGTGTTTTCTGTGAAGCGCTTTGGGACTTCCTCCCGACGTGAAAAGCGCTATATCAAAATGCAAGGATTATTATTATCTGTAATAACCAGATATGGACACACGGGAAATCATTATATGCAGACGTCTATGGAGGAGATCAGTAACACTAGATACATTTACACAGGGCTTGAATTCACATAGTCTAAACTAGCACTCCAATACAGTGCTGGGGGTGTTGCATTGTCAGAGGTGCCGTCCTTCAGATGAGACGTTAAACCAAGATCCCCATCTGCCTGTTCAGGTGGATGTTAACGATCACATTGCGCTATTCGAAAAAGAGAAGAGAGTTTCTCTTTCCCAGTGTCCTGGTCAACAATCCCCCAGATTTAAATAATTGGTCATTCATTACATAGCTGTTTGTGCGACATTGCTGTGTGCAATTGGTCTGCCGCGTTCAACTTCAAATATAATCACTCCACTTCAAGGTAAATCCTGTAAAGTACTTTGAGACTTCCTTCCGACCTGATAAGGGCTATCCCAAATGCAAGGATTATTATTATATTATTATTAGCAGTAATGGACAGACAGACTTGTACATTGGGGAGACCAGTAATAAACTGACATGTATAGAGGAATTGTTATGGGTACATTGATAATGTGCACCAAGAATTAGATTTCCCAACATAAATGCACAGCGACAAAGCAACCACACTTAGCAGCAAAGAGGCATTTTATCCCCTTAAGATTTTAAAGCATAAAATGATAGTGTCTGTCAATTATTTTAACAAATACAAAAAAAAGTTTGCAGTCGTTCCATTCTATCTTCACAATCGTGCTTTTGTCGTTTCCTTCACAGTTATTTATTGCGCGGGCATACACTGCTTGAAGTGGTCAATTGCCAGAGTGCCACAGGTGATAGAGAACGTTTCCAACGTGACAGTTTAAGCCTCCTCCAGCCCACGCACTGCTGCCTGAAAGAACTTAATTAAAATAAAATCACTGACCTTGCTGCTCAGCCCTACTATCTTTAAACCCACGTCAAGGCTCATTTGAGGACAGCTTCTAAAGTAGAGACAAATTGCTGCAGGGTCACTACAGAAAGGAATTTTTACTCCCATGTAAGCATGCGCCATAAATCAAATGTCTTTATCGCTGATCTTTGTGCACGTTTAGGAGGGTTTCCAGTTGTTGACTGCTCCCTTTGTTCCTCCCACAAATACCTGTGCTGGCACCAATGTGCCTGTGGCGTTGTTCACCAGTCACTCAAGGCTTATGAGATCATTGTTCCTTTTTAATCCAGGGTAATTCAGAGGAAACAAAGCTTGGGCAAACCTGACCAGAAGGACTTGAATGAAAACTTGGCTGCTACCCAAGGCCTGGCACATATGATCGCTGAATGCAAGAAGCTTTTCAAGGTGCGAGCTGCATTTGTGAAGGTTCATGCTTTTGAGCCCGTCCTCCTGATGGCACTACATAAATGTAAATTATATAGTAAATTGTATTGATGATGGTGAGTCAACAACAACAACAACAACTTGGATTTGGATAGCACCCTCCATGCCAGGCGGCGTCTCAGAGCGCTTTACAGTTTAGGATCCCGGTACCGAGCCAGGGGGAGGGGTAGGAAGGTGACCAAAGGCACAATCGAAAAGAAAGGTCTTCAGCAGAGACCTGAAAATGGGAAGGGAGGGAGCGAGACGAAGGGAGTGAGCAAGGCAGTTCCAGAGCCTTGGGGCATAGTGACTGAAGGCATGGCCGCCGAGGGTGGAGCGGAGGACTCAGGGGCCAAGGAGGAGGCCAGACCCGGAGGAACGAAGGCAACGGGTACTGTGCTGAGGAGAGAGGAGGTCAGAGAGGTAGGGGGGGTGCAGAGGAGTGCAGGGCTTGAATAAGAGGGTGAGGATCTTGATATCGATCCTCTCTGGGTTAGGGAGCCAGTGGAGTCTGGCAAGGGCTGGGGTGATCGGGGAGCGGAGTTTAATGTGGGTGAGAATGCAGGCGGCAGAGTTCTGAATAATCTGGATTTTATGGATGGTAGTAGATGGGAGACCGGCGAGGAAGGCGTTAGAGCAGTCCAGCCGAGAGGTGACAAAGGCATGGATCAGAGTTTCAGCGGCTTTTGGGGAGAGGTATTGGCGGAGACGGGCGATGCGTCAGTGGTGGAAGAAAGCGGTGCTGGTGAGGGACCGGATGTGGGGAAGGAAGGATAATTGGGGGTCGAACCTGACTCTTAGGTTGCATACGGGTTTGGAGAGTTTTAGGGGGAGGTCGGGTAGGTGGAGGAGGTGAGAACCATGAGATTTTATACGTTGACGAGAGCCAAAGAGTATGGCTTCCGTCTTGTCAACGTTCAGCTGAAGTTTGCGCTTATCCAGCCCCTGAGGTCTAACAGGCAGAACATCAGGGGACTGCGGGTCGCAAAGAGAGATGGAAAAGTAGAGTTGGGTGTCATCTGCACACAAGTGGAAATGTACCACATGTCTGCGGATGACATCTCCAAGAGGGAGCATGTAGATCAGAAAGAGGAGGGGGCCAAGGATGGATCCTTGGGGTACCCCACAGGTAACCGGGTGAGAGCGGGAGAAGATGCCATTTATGCAGATGTACTGCTGGCGGTTTGTGAGGTAGGACTCGAACTAGGCGAGTGCGGTCCCACTGAGGTGGATGACGGAGGAAAGGCGATGGAGGAGGATGGCGTGATCGACTGTTGAATGCCGCGGAGAGGTCCAGGAGGACAAGGAGGCAGAGGGAGCCCTGGTCACACATAGAGAGGATATCGTTTGTGACTTTCACAAGTCTCTGTACTGTGGGCAGGGCGGAAACCGGACTGGAGGGATTCGAAGAGGGAGTGGGAGGAGAGGTGTGCGCGGAATTGGTTTACAACAACATGTTCTAGAACTTTTGAAAGGAAGGGCAGATTAGAAATAGGGCGGTAATGGCTGGGGTTTGAGGGATCTAGGGAGGGTTTTTTCAGGAATGTGGTGATGTCAGCAGTTTTGAGTCACATGGTTGTGGGTTGAAACCCCATACCGAGACTTTGAACTCACAGACTAGGCTGACACTCAAATACACTGCTGCAACGTGTTGCATCACCAAGGTGCCAACTCTTGGAAAAGACCTTACTGTCGGTTGCAACCAAGGTCCTGTCTGCCTATTCAGTTGGGCATTAAAGATCTCATGGCACTACTTAAAGAGAAGGGAGTTTTTCCATTTAGCCAAACCAATACTGTCTGAGATCAAATTGATTATTCATTTCATGGCTATTTGTGGAGTAATCCGAGCGCTTGTGGACTCCGCGCCCTGCGTGGAGGGTGCTATATAAGTGCAAGTTGTTGTTGTAATGCCGGATGCATATTGTCTGCCACTTTTGCCTACAAAATGCAGACAATACACTTCATTGTAAAATCCTGTGAAGTGCTTTGAGACGTTTTGACCATGTGGTAAGGCATTATATCAAATACTGATACTGATAATTTGTTATTTTATTTACTATTTGGTGGGTTGTGAGTCATAGCCAGTGAACAACTGAGTGTTTTCGAACATAGCAAAATGTTTTTGATGGCACAAAGGTATAGAACCTCAGCTTCTTTGAGGAACAAACTACTTTTGTAAAGTTCAATGCACCAGGGTGGGAAAGTATTTGTTCCATGGTTTTTGACTGAAATTAAATGTCTATTGACCAAAACTGCTCGATTGTTGAACCAATTGCCGGGAGTTTTTGCTGCCACAAATTAGCTGGTGTGGTTGCTTATATAACAATCACTACTCTTCAAAGTAACTCATGGAGGACTTGGAGACATTTTGATGGGATTATTATGAGTTATATCGCATTGATTAGCAAAGCCAGAATCAAACACAGAGCATGCCTGTTTAATTGGAATGGAAATAAATGCAGATTATAGAAAATCATGGGATTGAAGTAACACATTGTAGCATTTGGGTTAATGTAACAGAAATAAATCTTCCTGACGTTCAAGTAGCTTTAAGTCTGTAAATGTTGCTGTTCTCAGTGATGAGATGCATGAGCTGAAAATATACAGAACCAGACAACCCACAGAGCCTGGAATGTATTAGACATCAGGGAGGGAGGAAATCTGTTGTGGTCAAACCTACACATTTTTTTCTGTTTACATTGCAAATAGCGTGGGAATTATTTTTATTCCTCAGATTCCTGAGGAGATGATGGGCCACTGTCGTAACTCCTACATGGAGCAGGATCTGCAGCCAGTCAACTTGGAGGAGCTAGGCCGAACACACGGGGACAAGCGCTCTGATTACCAGGCCCATCTCCAGGCCTGTATTGACGGTCTGCTGAAGGAGGCCAAAGACAAGTTTAAAGGCTGGGTCAACTGCTCAACATCAGAACCAGCAGAGCTGGCCTACAAAAAGGTAATTAATGTGTTCGAAGTTTCCTCGTTCCTGGACATGTCAGGAGGATGATAGGTAGCAGAATCTGCGATCAGTATTGCAGATCCATTCGTGCACCAGTTCCATATTAGAAATGGTCTCCTTAACGGGTAGGGGAGCTTTCTTACAACATGAGAAGGAGAGGGGAACTAAAAGAAACTGCAAGATAAAGAGAGTTTTATAACAATAACAATGAAGCTCATTACAGTGCGGTTCAGACAAGGAGAATGCAAATATTTTGTATAATCCTTTGCAAACAAACCCAACATATTTTGAGGTGAATTATTTTTAGACAGGGTTAGGCAGCTGGTGTTAGCTCCAAATATCATTTCAGTTTATTGGCCAAATCTGTGAGTACAAATATTTATGTGTGGGTTTTTTTGTCCAGATATGTGATGGGCCTCCTCTGAAACTGTGGAAGGCCTGCGTAGAGGTTCCTGCTTCCCCAGAAGATGTCCTCCGGCGGGTACTCCGGGACCGTCACCTCTGGGATGATGACCTTCTCAGTTCCAAGGTCATCGAAAGCTTGGACAGTCAAACCGACATCTACCATTACGTGCAGAGCTGCATGGCCCCACACCCCACCAGAGATTTTGTAGTCATCAGGTAAACCCTTTAAACACTTGTTCTGCAGGGAAAAAAGAGATAAAAAGGGATTTATTAATTAGGCAGTTGGGGGGGGGATAAAAAAAACCTAGATATTCTACAAAAGACGTCCCGTTATATTCGAGTTCCATAAAACCATTACCTACCTTATATCAGTGCCGTAATAGCTAGCCAGGACTTCAGCATTCGTTGTGTTTGGGTGCACTCAGCTACAGGGCTCTCTTTCCACACGCCAGTTAGCCATCTCCCTTCGATGACCTGGATGTCGTCCTTTTTAGCCCACTGGAAGTCAAAATGGCTGACTTCTGGGGTATCAGGTCACCAACGGTATCACTTCCTAGGGTAGTGACTTCTGTCGGTACCGGAAAAATGTCACACCGACCCCTGGAAGCATTGCTTTAGCAATAGACAGTGTTGACACAGTTTGTTCTGGATCACTTCCAGATACTGACAGGAGTGGTCACATGTAACTCATGTCACGTTTTAGCCTCCACTGTTCCCTTTCATTAACTATACTGTTGATGTTTGCCTGAATATTGGCCAGCATTTATTTTATTTGACACACAGATCCAGAACCAATGTGAATGTGAAACATTAAAGGATGGGTGGAGGGTGGGGAAGAGAGCTAGAAAATCAGACAACAGTGGGACAGACACAATGGGCTAAATGGCCCCCTTCTGTGCAGAAAATGTTTCTGTGTAGAGCTGTGAGACCCTATAAGCACTGTGTTTCTTAATCAGGGCTTGGAGGATGAACCTGCCCAAGGGGTGCTGTGTACTGGTGACAAAGTCGGTGGAGCACAATGGGACGCCGGTGGTTGGAGGCGTCCGAGCCAATGCTCTCACCTCTCGATATCTGATCGAACCCTGCGGGTCAGCAAAATCCAAACTCACATACTTGTGCAGGATAGACACAAGGTAAGCATTTGCTAACTTCCTTAGGAGCACATATACAGCAGAGACCCCAAGTTCCACCCAGTCGCAGTCCGGTAAAAAACATTTTATCTTAACACTTCATAATAATAATAATTCTTGCATTTTATATAGTGCCTTATCACGTCTTTAAGACATCTCAAAGCATTTCACTGAATATACTGTGAAGTGAATTGACTGTATATTTTGTGGGCGAAACACACAGCATTGTGGAATGCTCACACACCCAATTTGGAAACTAGTTTTCCACAGTTCTTAAAATGAAAGGGATTCCAAATTGACATTAAATTTAGCCTTTAGTGTGAAATTTCACTCAATCTTAAATATTAACGCAAACTGATTTTAAGGCTGAGACTGGGTGAAATTTCAGGCTTCAGAAAGTTTTAGGTGGGTGATTCTCTTGGATGTGTGAGCAGAGTTTGATGGCGTGAGCAGAGCCCAAGGTTAATGGACCACAGTGGTGGCTCATCTACAATAGGGTCTACTATTTCATAGATTGCTAAAAATAGAGCATTTCTCCTTCTTCTGGAGAAACTGGGGTCTAATGAACACTATGCACAAAGGGGTCTAAAGCACCTATTAGAAAAGTATCAACGCAGAGAGGGAGGGGATGAGGCAAAGGGATTTAGGGAGATAGTGGTCGGACGTGACATCTACACACATGCTGGACATTGGAAGCCTGGCTGATTTTTTGCTCTCTCCAGGTTCAGAGGTCAATTGGACCACTAAGCAGACAACCCAACTTAGAACAACCCACTCAGCATAGCCTACGAATTGAACCCAACCATTCTGGTCTGTGGGACTTTGTTTCAACAGAGCTAACAGAAAATTCCTTGCCCATTACATTCTTTTGCTATCTGTATTTTTTTCTTCTATAGTAAATATTTTTTATTACAGCTCGTTTTTTTTCTGTAGTTCATCTTTCAAACAAAAATAAGAGAAGCTGATGTCTTCAAGAGCTTTCAGCAACTCTTTATCTTCTGGCTATTGCTGTGGGATTGTAGATTTTGTAGCACCATAGCATAGAGCAAGAGGGTAAGTGGTTGAGAAATAGACTTGAGAACATTAGACCTCAAAATAAATAGTGATACATAAAGTGATTTGGCATAGTAATCTGTCTGTGCTGGTCTAGCATGACAGAGCATCATAGTTTAAGTGGAAAAACAATAGAAGATCCATAAGATCACCAGTGCTGCCTGTGCTGGGACTAAGGAGACCAAGTCAGGTCACAGCCCAGCTCAGTCGGTAGCATTTCTACCTCTGAAACAGTCGGGACTTTGAACTCGCAGTCTAGGCTGCCTTTCCAACACAGTGCTGGGGATGCATTGCATTGCTGGAGGTGCTATCGTTTGAGTGAGATGTTAAACTGAGGTCCCATCTGCCCATTCAGTTGAATGTTAAAGATCCCATACACTTATTTGAAAAGGCAAGGAATTTTCTCCTGGTGTACCCCAGATAAAATTTATTTTTTCACTCCATGGTTGATTGTGAGCCATTGCTGTATGCAAATTGGCTGCCACGTTCACTTCAAAATCAGCACTACACTTTACAGTAAATCCTGTGAAGCATTTTACTCTTCTGAAAAGCATCATATCCAATACAAGGATTGTTAATATTTATAAACCACATATGTAGTGAATAAACCTCATGACAACTAGGATCAAAATTGTGTTATTGCTCAACATGTTCCCTTCCTTATTTAAGGAACATCATTGAAATGTACTTTGGAAAAACACCCAACCTCTGAATAATGGTAGACTCCAAACCTGGCTCACCAGTGTTGCCATCTTCTCTTCCAGCTTGGCGGGAATACATTTTCGAATGCCAAAATTGGCTTTAGGCTTATTCAGAAGGGGATCTTACTTATTGCATGAATAGGCCAATAGAGACCGCTTTTGGTGCAGCCAAATGCAATGGATGCCTCGCTGAAATCTTCACATGGTCATGCTGTTTTTGTTTTAGAATGATACTACAACAATTTACTTTTGCCCAATGCACTGGGCTCACGGGTGACTGATACCTGGATGTTGACTACGTTATTTCATTGTTTATACAAATTGGTTATGATCTAGTTATATTTTACACCATTTAGATAGGCCACTGAGAATAATATGGCATTTGCATTATTCCTCCCCTCTGTGCATGCTTTGTGTTTTGATTGGCACATGTTAACACACATTTCCTTTCACTTCTTTCAGAGGGCGGATGCCGGAATGGTACAACAAAGCTTTTGGACATTTGTGTGCAGCAGAAGTTGTTAGGATACGAGACTCTATAAATATTCCCAGCCCCGACAGAATTGAAAACAAGAATTAGAAGGTGGAATTCCAAAAGTTGCTATTGCATCAACCCTGAAGCATCATGTTTCAAAGACCAGCCGGACATACTTGTCAGGGACCTGAGGGACATCTCCACTGCAAGGTTAAAGTCGGAGGTCCGCTCTGTCAGATCTTGAGAAAGAATTATTTTATTTTTAAATGGAACGTTTAATTATGTCTGTGGCAATATATGTTTTAAAAAGCTGCTTAATTCATACACAAAGGCTGTTGTATAGCCCTTTACTGGAATACTTGCTTGGGACTAATGGTCTTTTTGTAAAAAGAAAAGTGCAAAGATGGATTGCACCCGCTTGTTAAGGGACCACAATTGCTTCTATGAAGCGTCAAGCATTCTACCTGTCTTGTGTATGTAAATGAATGCCCTGTTGTGAACTGCTTTGGTCCAAGTGATTTGCTAATGTTATATTTCTTTGTATCTTATTGTATGAACCATTATCATGTTTCCTGTTTGCCGTGTCTTTGATTGTTTGAGTCGTTGGCTTGGCACTTATTAGTGCTTCTGGGGGAACTGTGTGTATGAGAGTATGATATGGTTTTGTGAGGAGCCGAGGTGGGAGAGATTGGGGGAGGGTTGGTGTCTGGTACACTGCTTGCTCTGAAGGCTCTGGCTTGGCTGTCAAAGTGACGTCCATGGATCAGTGAGAGTCTAGTACAGTGAAACCTTTAATACTTAAGTGAACAATATCTGAGACCACTTGAGGGCCTACTTATTTTAGTTTTTTCATGAATCAATAGTCTGGATATTGTTTTTTAGTAGGTAATGTCAGATATTGCCACCAGTAGTAACTTGCCTACTGAAATAGAGTTCATCTTCCATTGTTAGGAATATGGAGAAAGTATCTTACATGTTTTTTTGATGTCCCATCTCTTGTTAGTTAAAGATATTGCAGGACTACAGGCATAAGTGGAGGAGAGATTATTCTATTCATCAGTCATTGTTTCTGCCTGATAAGAATACTCAAGCAGGCAGTAACCTCCAAACACAAGAGTTAAATCAAGGTCAATCTATCTTTTACAATAGGCTTGTCATTCATTAATAATCCACCAACAATCCACCTACAAACCCCAAAATAAAATTAGTCATTCACTTCATGGCTGTTTGTGGAACATTGATGTTGTGTAAATTGGCTGCCAGGTTCACCTACAAATAAACAGTCACTACATTTCACAGTAAAATTATGTGAAGCACTTTGAAAAGTCTCGATGACGTGATAAGGCGCTACATCTCATACAAGGATTTTTTTTATTATTAACATAGACGCTTCTGAGCTTTACACTTTTTACGTTTGGGATGTATAGCAGTGTGGAGACTATAGGGCTTTACAGTGCAATGTGACTGAGCAGCATCTCTCTAATCTCATCAGTACACTGAGGGCCACACACTTCATTCCAAAGGAAAAGCTCTGTAGAGGAGGTTTCTTTGGTGACACTATTCTGCAACATTTCTCGTCCAATGAACAACTTATAGAGTAAACCCCCTCCCCCACCGCTAAAAAAAAGCCCCATGTAACTGACTGTTAGATTTAAAGTCAGCATAGAGTAAAATTACTACTCTTAAACTCGGGTTTAGTATTGAAGATTGTTGATGTAACGGAGCAGGAAGAGCTACATTTTATTGAATAATTTTATCAATTTTCGAAAGGTGATTGTACAAAAGCCTGGACCTGTATTTGAGAAAGTTGCAGAAAATATTTTTTTGTTGAAGTCTATTTGCAGTGTTGTGCCGAGGTCAGTTCTTTATACACTGACACGAGTTGTACTCGAATATTTTCCTGGTTAGTCAGAAGCTGCCATTTGTCGTTCTCTGTACCCTTCTCCAGTGAAGGATGGCTCAAGTTGGGAACTGCAGTAGCCATGTCCTAATAATCAGTAATTTGCTGAAAAAAACTGCTTGTGCTGATGCAGGGTAAACTGAAAGTTAGAACCCGTGTATTATTTCCTATTTTTACCAGTGTGAATGTAAGGACGGATATAGATGTATAGATGTATAGATATATATAGATATATATAAACAGTATATTTTTGTGGATGTGGCATGTATCTTGCATTTTGTCATTTCATATTTCGTTGTGATTGGTAACAGTGACATCTGACTTGTTCACCTGCAAAGCTAGGTTTGGTGAAACCAAATGAGAGGAGAGTTATATCACTCTAGTATTGCATACTTAAAGCAGTCAAGTCTTAAATACTCATGTTGTTTGACTGAAATTCCCATCAAATTAACTTCTACACATTGCTATCAAGTAACATTTATAACTGATTGTTATAAAACCACCTCCCCCCACCCACCCACACACACACATCCACAGGCACATTCATATGTACACATCAGTTGAATACTTTTGACAGATTAAAAGATTACCTTTTAGTTTAATTCCCCCCCACCCGAATTTGACAATCATTAGATTAGTTAACAATCATGGGAATCTAGCTGCCAAAGTAGTCCTCTCATTAAGGTGGTCTCTCGTACGGATTTTCACTGTAATATTGGTGTTTGTTTGAGGCTTTCAATGGGATGTAGTAAATTACTGTCACTGGGTGTTCAGAAATCCTTTTAATGTGTGGGTACTGGAGTCATTAATGAGCAGGAATTTAAAGAACGATTTATCTAATTTGTTTAAAATATGTACCATTATCAGTATTATGTAAAGAGCTTTTTAGTGATTTTTTTGGCAATGAGAACAATTTTATAGTAATTATCAGCATTGTCCCTCCAGTTTAAGACGCAAGCTTATCTTTCTGCATGTGTGTATTTGTTACAATTCCATTGGTATGTATTCAATTTGACATTGTTATATATACCATTGTACTGTAATAGTGTCTACATGTTTAGCTGCACACTGCCAAATAGGGATAATGCTTGTCATTATTAATTATTTAAATATTCATGTATTTATACCTCAAATATACTTTTTTGTACTTCGAGTTTTTCTTTTTAATTGTAAATACTTTACTCAAAAAGCTAAGGTATAAAGAACCAAGAAAGTGTTTATATCTTTGTATGTCTGTACAGTTATAACCATCAAGTGCACTATTAAATGTGTTAATGAAAATAATTTCATGCTCATGAATTTATCTTTAATTTTTTTCACTTTTTTTGTCAACTTGCTTCCCTTTCTCTCCGCTCCTCCCCTCCTGAAAGGGCTTCTAATGACCCTAGTGAGACGGAGAACTACAGAGGGATCTTACTGATTTTAGTGGCTCTTAAACGGTGCTTTGGGTCGTCACTGCACGTGTATCACATGCATTGGAGGCTCGTGGTTTGATCAGGCAGGAAACAGGCTGCCTTCTGTTCTTATGAGGAATGTGTGGGATAGGTTGTGGCTTTGTACGAGATTGAAGAATGTCAGAAGGCGAAGGGGAAACCCACAATTTTGCGTTCATTGAATTCTGCAAATTTTCGACCTCGTGCCTCATTAAGTCTTCATGATGAAACTGGAAGCCATGGGAGTTCTATACATGGCCAGATCTTGGATTTTATCTGGCTGCCCATTGTCGATTGTTTGTCGATTGGGGGATTGTTTTTTCCATTCAAAATGTTTTTTAAAAAATAATAATTTAGTCTCTCATTCCACATCTGTTTGGGACACTGCTGTGCGCAATTGGCTGCCGCGTTCGCCCACAAATATACAGTCAATTCACTTTACAGTGTGTTCTGTGAAGCGCTTTGGGACGTCCTCCCGACGTGAAAAGCGCTATATCAAATGCAAGGATTATTATTATTATTATATCAAATGTAAGGATTATTAGTATTATGCGATGAATATCAGTCACGTGGTGAATATGATGGTGGATTCCCTCAAATGCGGAATCATGCTTCTGCACAGCTCAAAAGAAGACATCAAAGATGATACATGAAGAAAGATACAAAGGACATCAGTCCCAATTGTTGATTCTTATCAGTATCGTGGGATTGTGGTGAACATGTGAGTGTGTGTGTGTGTTTCTCTGTGAGTGTCTGTGTCCGTGATTGTCTGTGTCTCTCTCTGTGTGTCTTAGTATGTGTGTGTCTCTTTGTGCCTGTGAGTTTGTGTGTGTCTCTGTTTCTGTGAGTGTGTGTCTCTCTCTGTGTCTGCGTTCAAGAGTTAGAGGATGGTGACCTTCTGGAGTCACAGTCAGGACTAACCTCCCCCTTGAGTGAGCCACTTTGTAAAAGAAAGCATTAATATTTTCTTTTTCACAACAATAACACTATTTCTTCATGTTTGTTTTTTATCAATAAAGTGACCAAATGTAGGTTGGAAGTAAAATGCACCTCAATAGCACCAATCAACTCCCTGTCAAATTTCCCCGCAATTTTTGGCAAACATTTCCACAATTTTCTATTGGCCCTGGCTCATCAGGAAGGCTTGGAAGGGCAGACCAGTCAGTCGGGGCGGGGAATCATCCCACTCAGATCCTATTGCTATTCACTTGGTGGAGTGCTGGCCAGCCTGACGCAAAACTTAATAGCATTGACGATTTAGGTGAAGTATTTGGTGCACTGATTGAACTTGTTGCTATGTGATTTGTTTCACTCAAACTACATAAAATCAGTTTTTAAATATTTACAGCAGACTCAAAACCACCATTTACAGAAGATGTGAAGCTGGATAAATATCCTGATGTTTTTACTTTATTATCTCCCATAGTCAGGAGTCATCTATGATAATACAAATAATCATTGCATTTGATATAGTGCTTTTAATGTCGGGAGGATGTTGCAAAGCATTTCATAATATTTACTGTAAAGTGTAATGGCAGTGTATTTTGTAGGCCACCACGTCAGCCAGCTTGCGTACAGCAATATCCCACAAACAGCCATGAAGCAAAGGATCAATTTTATTTGGGGGGATTGTTGGCCAGGAAAAACTCCCTTCTCTTTTCAAATAGTCCCATGGGATCTTTAATATCCACTGAACAGGCATAGACTGGAGTCCAGTTTAGTGTCACACCTGAAGGACAGCACCTCCAGTAATGATTGGCATCCGCGAGATTACATTTGAGTATCAGCCCTCACAGCTTTGGAGGCAAGAGAGTGCCACCTGAGCCAGGCTGGCACCCATAGAGAAGAGCGATAATATTTGCAGTGTTCCTTATTCTAATTAAGACAAGTAACACACTGAGTAAGAATCATGGCAAATGTGTTCCTTAAAGAAGTAGCTTCACTGTATAACAGCCTCCCTCACTTACCTCAACAACGAATGCTCTTAATATTCAACTGGTCCCACAGATCAGCTGCTGACAGCCTGGTGAAAAACAACAGGAAATCAACTAGAGTCAGCTTTCTTATCTGGGTCAAGGGAATGTCAGTTGTTTCTACATATAAGGAGAGTTAACATTGGGTAGAGAACAATGGCGGAAGAAGATTTTTACGGTTGGGAGGGGCGAAGCCGGAAGTCGTGGGAGGGCAAAATCACGACCAAAGACACCAGCATGATCACCAGGTTCCTTTGAAGTGTCCATCTTCACCATCGTCCACAGCATTGACTTGGAATAGGCCAGGAATTCTTATCTCAGACCATTATTTGGGCAAGTTTGGGCTAGGATTTTGTATTCAGTGCTTAACCCTGTTATTTGCTTTAAATTAAAATTGTGTGTTTACAGAATGGTAGTTTTTCACTGGTCTGCAAATCCCAGAGTGACCACCGGAGGGCTGCATGGCAAAGATAATTGAAGCCAAATATTAATAATAATAATAATCCTTAATTTGATAGAGCGGCTTTCGCATCAGGAAGTGCTTTGAAGAATGTACTGTAAAGTGTAGTGACTGTGCATTTTGTAGAAAATTGTTAACTTCTAAATATGAATTGATACAGTATGCACAGTATCACTCACAGCTCAGAGATAATAAAAAATAGGTTCCAAAAAAAGTAATTTATTGTTTCCAGTCAATATATTAGCTTTGTCCAAAGCGTCATACTTGTGATGAGATGTTAAACTAAGTTTCTGGTTGCCTTTTCTCTAGGTGGACGTTAAAAATCCTATCACACCATTTGAAAACATTTGGCAGTTTTTCTCAGCGTCCAATAATAATGATAATAAGCCTTGCATTTGATATAACACCTTATCACATCATTGAAACGGTCCAAAGTGCTTCACGGAATATTTTGCAAAGTGAGCTAAAGTCACTGTGCATTTGCACAGCTGTTTGGAGGACCTTGTTGTGCAAATGGCTGCCATGTTCCCCTGCAAAAGAATCACTACGATTGGCAGCAATTGGCTGTGAAGTACTTTAAGACTGTCTGCTAATAAAATCTATGCTCTTTCAAGTTTTTCCTATCAAGGATGAATTGTTCATTGGCGAACTCCCTGAACTGTAAAGCTGAGTTGTTGTAGCTGAGCTGCCACCTTGTGGTCAAAGAGAGTTATGCTCAGAGCTAGTTATTTTCCAATTTTCTTCCCTCCTGTTTTCCTGAAAGCACTGACTCCTATTGGAACTACAGTCCCAGTAACTTGTCCAAATGGTTATTCTTTATGCAAGAGCCTATGTGGGGAGCTAAGGCCAGTCCAGTTCTCATCCAACATACACACAAGTCACTAGAATTGAGAGACTGTGGCTGATTTTTCCCATCTCTAGGTCATTGCATAGATTTCACAGGAAGAATTAGAGAATGGTTAGAAGAGTTGTTCTTACACAGAGAGACGTGGTATGTGGAATGCCTCATCACAAATGCTGCTGAAGTTGAGTTCATAAAAAACATTTAATGTGGAACTGGTTAAATAGTTGACGAAAGATCACAAGATCACAACAGATTCAGATGAAGAAGACCCTTCGGCTCATTTGATCTCATCTTTTCAAAATATCGTCCCAACACAAATCATTTTAAATGAGTCCAACATCCTGGCCTTAACCACCTTTCCTGGTCCCCCATTCCACGTCATTTATCTTCTGGGTAAAGAAATACTTTGCGATATCCACCCTAAAATTGCCCTTTGGGACCATAAACCTATGTACTCTTAATAATATAAATGAGTATGGGGAAGAAACACACAAAAGGAATTAGAGCAAAGAGCTCAAGTGAAGAAATAGCACACATGGAGACATGATAGAATGTATCAAATGCAAGGATTATTAATATTATTATCATCTTAAGGGTGCAATAATAACAATGCCATCTGTTGTCCTGCCTAATTCCGAACTGATTGGAAATGGAGCCTGGAACCTTCTGCTGGTCAGTATGTAAAACTAGACAGGACCAGAACTAATAAACCTTTGGGGGAAACCATTCCACTAAACATTTAATCACGTTTGAGTGATGGTCTAGTGGAGGAATACCAGGAGCAGTACCACAAATCACTGCACGTGGCAAGCCACCCGATTGGGTTGTGTGTACATAACTGATCGTGCCTTCGGTCGCCCTCCCACCTCTCTGCCTTCTCTCAACCCTAACCCTCCCCTCCCCATGCTCGGGTCCTGACCCCTGACTGTACAGCGCCTTGGGACATCCTCCCGAGGTGAAAGGCACTCTATAAATGTAATGTTGTTGTTGTTGTTGCTGTTGTTGTATTGTCCGTGTTGCTACACTTTGGAACATGAGGAGCTTTTCATCCAAAAACTGCATTATACAGTACTTCAAATCCAAGTATCAACATCGATTGCCAGCAGTGAATAGAACTCTAGGGAGCTCTATCTTATGTTGATCACCAAAAAGCTTTATACCCAAGAAAATCTATTATAAGTACATAGCAACTGGACACTAGTTTTAGGGACTAACGTGAAGATAAGACTTTGCTGCCTGTAATAGTGTCTCTCGAAATGTATCATTCCCTTTAATCTGCCCTATTGGTCAAAAGTTCAGATACAGAGTTAACCATTAGCTGAGACAGTGATATGTGCTCAGTGAACAGTGACAGTCCTCCAATATCTCATCCAGGTGGTCTTTCTTCATGCGTCGACCTGTACAGAGAGTGTTAAGTTATTTGGCCGCTCAGTCCTGTCCTCACCTGTTAGCACAGGCACGGGTAGGTCACTGCTCTATTTATATATATAGAGAGAGATATTTTGCTACTTTCATTTGATCATTTCTTCCTTCCATTAGTTTATCTACCCGAAATACTCATAACTGATAATCTTTGCCCTTCATACAGAAACCATTCACATGGGAGTACATTTCAAAACTTCGCAGGATTTAATGTAAAGTGTGTACAAAAACTGTGTATTTTGTAGGCATCTCAAATGCACAATCATATTTCATTATTTGGTGTTAATCCCCAAAGTGGAGAATTTATAATAATCCTTGCATTTGATATTGTGCCTTATCAGATCATGGAAATGTCTCAAAGCACTTCACAGGTATTACCGTAAAATGTAGTGACTGTATTTTGCAGGCAAACACAAAAGCCAATTTTCACACAGCAATGTCCCACAAACAACCTTGACATTAATGAAAAAAAATTCTGAGGGATTGTTAGCCAGGACACCAGTATAAACTCCCTTCTCTTTTCGAATGGGATCCCTCCAAGTCCCCTTACATAAGAACTTAAGAAATAGGAGCAGAAGTAGGCCATTTGACCCTTCGAGTCTGCCCTGCCATTTAATAAGAGCATGGCTGATCTTCTAATCTAATTCCATTTACCTGCCTTATCCCCATATCCCTTAAGCCCTTTAGTTTTTAAAAATCTAAAAATCCCCTTGAACAGGTAGATAGGACCTTGGTTTAACATCTATCCTCAAAATGCAACACACCCCCATCACAAGTCAGCATATTTTGCTAAGGATAGCTATGTTGGAGTATTTTGTAATAATAATAACCCTTATATTTGCTATAGCACCTTTCCATCATGAGGACATCCCAAAACGCTTCATAGGATTTACTGTAAAGTAGAGTGACTGCGTGTTTTGTGGGCAAACACAGCAGACAATTTTGCACACAGTAATATCCCATAAACACTATGAAGTGAGCGACCAATTTTATTTTGGGAGATTTTTGGCCGGAACACTGAGAGAAAAACTCCCTTCTCTTTTCCAATATCCCCATCTGAGCAGGCAGATGGGGCCTTGGTTTAACGTCTCATCCAAAGGTTGTTGTACATATCATAAAACAATAAAGGTCAAAAAAAGCCCAAATAATAGCAGCGAATCTGAGTTCCAGTGCCGGCTATTCATTCAACTTACTGAGCAGGTTAGGAGCTTTCAATTTAGTGTTTAGTAGTTTAGGAGGTTCCATCCTGTCTCAATCTCAGATTGGGTTATTAAGGGTAAATCCTTGAGTTCCTATGAACTACATTTTGGACTACATTTTCTCCGTTTGCAAACAAAATGTATGATCTAATTTCCATAATTACACAACTATCTTCACAATAATGGTATTACGGTCCAATATTCAGCAATTTCTAACAATCCTACAATATAAAAAAAACTCAGGAACATATTTTTAAACAACGTGCATTAAGGAAACACCTTTTAACAACAACAATTTGCATTTATTCAGCGCCTCTCGTGCAGGTGCTTGACAGTGGCGTAGCACGACACCGAGCCAGGGAGAGGGGAGGTGACCACAAGCACAGTCAAACAGAAAGGTCTTCAAACGTGACCTGGTGGAGGGGGCAAGGCGGAGGGATTGAGGGAGCATATTCCAGAGGGCGTAGTGGCTGAAGGTGCGGCCACCGATGGTAAAGCGGAGGACATGAGGGACATGCAGTCGAGCAGAGGAAGCGGGTTGTGGGTTGGTGAGTGAGCATGTCAGAGAGGTACGGAGGTGCATGAAGGGATTTAAAGACAAATGTGGAGATCTTGAAATCAATCCATTCAGTGATAGGGAGCCAGTGGAGCCTGGCTAGAACTGGTGTGATAGGGGTACGGAGTTCAGTACGGATGAATATGTGGGCGGCGGAGGTTTGGATTAACTGGATAGTGGAGCTGGGGAGACCAGCAAGGGGGCCTTTTGAATAGTCAAGACAGGAGGTTAAAATAAAGATCACTGCAGACGATGGGTCCTGAGAAATGATAGGATCTTTTGTTAATACATTTATTGCATTTTTTTTAAAATTCACCTTTATGTGTCAAGTGTGCCAGGTACAGACTTCAAAAGAGTCAGGTTATTTATCTTGTGCTTTTATGGCAAACACTGAAGCGATTCAAGTTTCAACACTTAAAGGAAGCAAGTAGCACTTCTTCAAAGTACAATTTGGAACTTTTAAGCATTAAATATAATTTATATTCACTATTATTCAACTGTGAATTTTACTGCATTGACTGTATGTTACACACCATATTAAAGAGGAAAAACAGAGCATAAAACATTTCATCACAACATCCTAAGAATAGATATGCGATGATAACAAGATGAGAAAAGTGTTCAGAACATAGCTTTCTAAGCTACTCTTTTTGCTATGTAAAGAGTATCTTTCCCACTGTGCTTGATTGAACCTGTTGGCATCTCACAGACTTGTTAAACCCATGGGACTGAATGCCTGAATATAAACTATTTGCCATTTGTCTTCTGAAATATATATATTTCATAAATGTAGAGGTCAAATATGAATTTTAATTAAAATCACGTGCGAAAATGTACGTTAAAATGACATATGTAAAAAAAAACTTTGCATCAACATAAAAAAAATTCCATTGTTATTCGCAGTTTGAAACAATGACGTGAAAACACAATGTTTCTTAACAGATGTTAGGTGTGTTATCGAATGTGTTGCTAAATCTGTCAAGAATCATGAGATAAGTGTTTGTGACATTTCATATGCCATCAAAGGCTGCAAATGCTACCCGCACTGGCATTTATTTCCCATCCATTATCACTGAGTGTGGAGATTAACAAATGAAATGTATAACGTGAATCATAGCAGCATAATTAGTTGCACTCCAATACAAAGCTTTTTCTGGGAACATTAACTCCTGCCTGCCGCAAAATATCACAGAACAATAACAACACGGTTGATAGTCACTAATCAAACTTACCAAATCTGACAAAACTCTCTCTAGTAGACCTGATGTCATTAAGCGATTTTTTGAAAAAAATATGTATGTTGAAGTAAAAGGGAAATACTAAGAATATTAAGAAGCAAAATGCCTAAGCAGTTACTCTGTAGTCCTGTAACTCTGAAATCACTGGCAAAGAAAATGTAATAAAAAAAATTAACATGGGCCAAACATAATAACTTAGAAGCTAAAATACTTCTGTACTGCCACTTATTTTAAATAAAAAATTATACTGGAGCAGTTAATGAGGTGCAATTCCTCAAATTACCAGCGTGTGGATTTTTGATTCCACTCTGGCAGCTGAAGTGCTATTGAGAGATAGTGCTGAGAAATTTCAAGTGGAGGGTGGGTTTCTCCATGTAGTGGACAAGATTAAAAAAATCATTCAGGGAACCTTCACCCATCTCCGGGAGTAGCTTCAGTGGTACAGTGGTGATGGGAGGGATGGGAAGCTGCCAATTCTTTTGATGTTTCGCTCCTAAATATAACCCTCCAACCAGGAAGGAAATGGCCACTTTATCTGCCATCTAAGAGAAACCATCCTTGAAATTCTATTCGCTCACGGAAACACTATTTCTGTGAGCAAATAGTGAACCTGTGGAGCAGGCTCCCTCGGGAGACGGTTGAAGCAGGAAATGTTTCTTCTTTCAAACACAGATTAGATAGTTTTCTTTTAGGAAATAACATTATGGGATATAGTACGTAGGTAGTTTGGGACATATGTGCATTCGACCACCAGGAAAGTGGAAGGCAAACTCGATGGACCTTGGTCATTTTTTCATCTAGCATTTCTTATGTTCTTATGTAAATGATTGCAATTGTCTCCAAAATATTCATCGCATAACCTCTGCTTTCCATTGCTGAATAACACAGATTTGAGCACTTCGGCATTCGATATTGTGCTTAACATTGGCACAACAATTGCGATTGCAAATTGTTTTGTTTTAATGTGCAGGTAAAATGTAACGGTTTGAGGGGCTGCTCCCATTACTTCCATATGAAATGCGCACTTCAGTTAATAACCTCTGCATTTTATGACTCTTTTTCTGCTATAACACACCAATTGCCGTGATCATAGCAGGAGCTGAGAATGTGAAGTTCAGATACATTCTCCTCAATTAGCTGAGACAACTCTCCTTCCCTGAAAACATGATAATACCTCATAAAATCTGTGTCGTCTGCATTTTCTACCTGCTTATCCTCCAAGGCCACAGCTCCACAGTTGGCTATTGTGTCTGATGGCAAAGTCCTTTTGAGAAGCTGAGCTTCACCACCCTGGGAACTTTCTGTTTCCTTGTCCTTCTGAAGTATCTGTCTGCCTTCTACACAATGACCCTGAGAAGTATCTAGCCCACCATTTGTGTAACTCTCAACCCGGTGACTTCTCTGGTGACTGTGCTCTGGCCACTCTGCTCCATCGTGCTTTAAATTTTCAACAAAGACTTCGTCGTCTTCAAAGCTGTGTCCCTTCAACAGCTGGGGGCAGACTGTCTCCAGACTGCAATGAAGGGATGATATCCGCAAGTTGCCTTGGGGCTGCATGGACACTGGGTGGGTTGTCCATGTGTGTATTGGATCTGGCAGGTTCCTCCTGGACTTGAGCTGCTCGATATGGGACCTCATTGTAGCCTCATCCAGAGATTTGGAGAAGAACCAGGAACGGAGTGACCGTCCTAGATGTTTGTAAAATCGATGTTCCTGCTGGTGGGACATTTGGAGGCAGCAGCTCCCAAATGGGTCGTAATTGTCTGTAGTGTATGAGCCATCCTGGCTGGGAGCCCACACTGCGCTGCTCTCACTCTGAGCTGCTCTCTTCAGCTCTTGTGCTTTGACTGTGCTTCCAATGACGCTTTTGTTGTTGCTGTTGCTTTGGCCAGATTCTGACGGGGGTCTAGAGCACAAGGATTTATTCCATGGCACAAATATGTCCTGCTTCTCAAAGCGCCGTTGCTTTTGTTCCATTGCCCACACATAAATCATAATTTGTCCACCAGGTCGCAGTGTTCTGGCCATTTCACTTATTGCTCTGATACGTCTTTCTTTGGTTGAGAAATGGTGAATCACTGCAATAAGAAAGAAGATATTTCATGGCCAGTTTGTGACCTTTACTTAGAGAAAAAGATTTACAGATGCTTAAGTAGGATTGTCTTTGGGAATTTGTGGCGTGCAAGCCACAAACTCATGCATTTAAAGATGGAGAAAAGCTTATACAGTGTACTTACTGTTCATAGTTCTTCTGCTCTACTAGGACATGACAGTCGTAAAGATGTTTTGAGTTCACCCGATAACCCAGAGGATAAACTGTGCAGTCAATAGCACTGAACAATCGACACCAGAATTCTGACATTTCTCATGGTCTCAGCTTTTAGAACAATGTCTTAGAATTTGAGATTGTGCAGAAGTTGGGAAAAATGTGTTTTTTTTCTTAATTTGGAAGTCAGTTTTCCACAGTTCTTTTAAAATGTGTTCAAATCTAGCAGGATTTTAAGATTGTCGTTTCGTACAATAATATACAATTTAGATTTACAGAGCATTTTTCATGATGCGCTTGAGACTGATAGTTGGTTTTGAAAGCTGAGAAGGGAGGGGAGGGGAAAAAATACCCAAACTGCTGTCAAAGAGATGCATTTTAAGATGTGCCTTAAAGCAATGAGAAGGAACGAGCTGGAGGGACTCTGGGATGAAGTTACAGAGAGCAGGGTCAGAATGACTGAAAGCCTGCCTGCTGATGGTAGGGCAGATATAGCTGGGGATATATGGCCAGTGTTTGTTGAGCAAAATGGCAGAGTTGAGGGGATCACAGAGGTATGATGGCAGAGACTATGGAGGGATTTAAAGATAAGGATGAGGATCCTGAACTCGATCCATTAGGAGATGGAAATCCAGTAGAGACCAGTAAGGATGGGGGTGATAAGCCTATAGAGCCTGGTGCGAGAAAGAGCAGGGGAGTCCAGTGAGCAAAGCATAAGTGTAGTCAAGCCTGGATGTGATAAAAGCGTGAATGAGGGCCTTGATGAAGTCATGCAATGTTACGAAGGTGAGGGAAAGCTGAGTGGGCAAGAATTTAGATGAGGGGTTTGAAAGACAGTTGGGTTCAAATGAGACACTGATGTTTGTACAGGCTTCGTGAGGTGGAGTGAGTATCCATACAGGTTGATGCTGTCAGCGCCTGAGGTGAGATTCCATAGATTCTCACTGAATGAATGCCAGACTGATTGATGGCAAAAGGCAATTCTCTCACTGTGCTTGTAAATCCCATTTGCTGAGATCATCAGAGCTTCTGTTGGGTTAGTTCACTGGACTGATCTACTCACTACGGAAGACAGTGCAGTATGCAATTGAATCTCAACAGTTTTATAATAATAATAATCTTTGTACAGTATTTACCATAACGCCATAACGCATTTCACGTTGGGTGGACATTCCAAAGCAATTCACCGGATTTACTGTAAAGTGGAGTGACTGTGAATCTGTAGCAAATTTTTATTTAATAATAATAATCCTTGCATTTCATATAGCGCTTTTCATGTCTTCTAGACATGTCAAAGCACTTCACAGAATATACTGTAAAGTGAATTGACTGTATATTTGTGGGCAAAGCAGTGTCCCACAAACAGTCATGGATTGAAGTGACCAATTTTATTGTTTTTTTCTTGAAGGATTATTATTAAATGGTCAAATGTAACCCTTTGTGAATTGCACTTCTGCGATGGACCCAATGCTCAACACTAGGGAACAACTCTCTACAGAAGTCTTGCAATTCATGGCCCTGTCTGCCAATGTTTGATCATTTCTTTGATCGCTTACCTCCAATGGAGACGACAGCATTAAAGCACTGATCCCTGAAGGGAAGCATTAAGTTGTCGCACACCATGACTTCATGTCCGTGTCTCTTGGCAATCTCTAACAAGGTGCTGCAGTAATCACTGCCCAGTGTGTAGGCTTGGGTGTTCACAGTTAGATATTTTCCAATCCCACAGCCTGCAGTAGGAAATCACTGCAAGTTAATACCAAAACATTGGAGTGAAAAATGCAATGTTTCACAACAGATTTGATGAGACGTGTTTCAATCTGTTATGAAATATTGCATTTTAACCCTGCTGCTCTCTACATTGATACTTGGTAGCAGTTCTAAATCTGATATTATTCAACAAAAGGAAATACTGGAGTTTCTATTTCCTATTTAAATATGTACAGTATTCCTCTACACACTCACTTTCCCATAAAGGTTACCAGATAGACGTCAGAAGCGAGCTTACTGCCTGATTCCATCCTATCCCCCGCCCCACCAGTCACACATCACAGCCATAATGCTGATCAACATAACTCAGCACGGAATGGAGGCAAGAACCTAAAACCTATTATTATCAGGTAGCACAGTTCCTCACTGGAGCAGTGAACAAACCAACAGAGCCATCAAAGGCGCTCCATGCCTGGTCAATTTAAGGAAAGGTGGAAACACAATTGTCTGTCACAGCTTCTCTCATGTGCTGAATGGAACAATTTTTATTTGTACCAACCACAACAATAACTTCTATTTGTATAGCGCCCTTCAGGTCAGGGAGTGCCTTGGAGTGTTTACTTCTGGTTTCTATATTTGTGTTTTATGGGTACTGGTTAAGATATAATTAATTTATCATGAGGTTGAAGGCTTGTTAAAGATATCTCAAAGCTGCAGATACTTTTGCCCAGATGAAGAGTGTGATACATAATCCCACCCCCACCCCTACATCAATGGTGTTGCCATGAAAATAAGAAAACCATGGCACAGCTGGCTCAAGAATTAAGGTGTTGTATAGATTTAATACTGAATTTTTGAGTTAGTTAAAAGTCATAATCCAATTGCCAATAAATTGTGGGGTCAATTATAGAAGAGGGTGTATGTGTGTGTGGGGGGGGGACCCCCTCCCCCTCCTCCCCAGTCTAATGTGCTAATTGCAATAGTAATTTTACTCAGTGATGTGCTAATGAACATCTTCAGTCTCAGGGGATGGAAATTTTCAGTCACTAACAAGTAACCAGTGGAATGAAAAATATTTTTTAATAACATCAACAACATTACATTTGTAAAGCGCCTTTCACGTCAGAAGATGTCCCAAGGCACTGGACAGACAGAGTATTGGACCCGCGCTGGGGGTCGGGATCAGGGAGGGTGGAGGGCAGTGGGGGAAGCAGGGTGATCGAGAGCACGGTCGAAAAGGAGGGTCTTGAGATAGTTCTTGAAAGAGACAAGGGAGGGGACGGGATGGAGGGACTGTGAGTTGGAATTCCAGAGGGTGGGTTAGGGTTAACCCTAAGTGGCAGAAGGCCCGCCCGGCATTGGGCTGATTGGGGATCGAAATAAAATAATAACAAAGCAACATATTTAGCAAAATGGCCATTAAATAGTTCAACAGTGGACATTAAGGGGATGAAATTCCTCTTGCCGTTCAGTGCAGTGAGCTTGATGATGTGCAATTATAAGTGTGATATTCTCATTACAGGCATATATGGGACACTGCTGTGCACAATTGGCTGCCGTGTTTCACCCACAAATATACGGTCAATTCACTTTACAGTCTATTCTGTGAAGCGTTTTGAGATGTTGAGAAGTTGAGATGAAATGCAAGGATTATTATTTATTATTTCATCAAAATCACTGCTCTTAACAGTAGGAGGAACACATCAGGCAGAGAGAGAGGATGAAGGTTACAGTCCCTTACCGATGTCAGCAATGAGACTGCCTGGTCCTTGGTCCAAAAGAAACTGACGGACACGAGGCCAAGCTTTGCTCCGCAGCTCCGTGAAGTACGGTGCTGTTTGCTCGTACACGTTGTGGACGTGTGCTCTTTCCAGCTGAATGGCTTCCAGCTCCATCCTGCAGTGAAAAGCCATATTGGAGTTAATCGGTAATTTTCCTGGAGCTCTTTTACAATATTTTTTAACTGTAAAAGAGTCTTGTCTCCTGGGCTTGACTCCAGTCACATTGGTGCTTACCCATTTATTTCAGTCATATTCCTAATTTGATAACACTGACTATTTATAATAATATTCCCCTGATGTTTTATGGGACCAGGAGTAGGCCATTCGGTCCATCAAGCCTTATTAGATCATGCCAGATCACATTTTAGCTAAACAGCTCTTAAACAGTTTGGAGCAACAACAACAACATTACATTTGTATATTGCATGTCGGGAGGACATTCCAAGGCTCTGGACAGTTAGAGTTTCGGAACTAAGCTGGGGGTAGGGATGGAGGAGAGTGGAGGGCGGTGGGGGGGGGGGAAGCAGGGAGATCGAAAGCACGGTCAAAGAGCAGGGTCTGAGATGGGTCTTGAAGGAGGCAAGGGCGGGGACGAGACAGAAGGACTGAGGGATGGAGTTCCAGAGGGTGGGGACAGAGTGGCAGAAGGCCTGCTTGCCAATAGTGGGGCGAGCGAGGCGGGGGACATGAAGCGGGATGGAGCCCACTGAGCAGAGGGAGCGAGCAGGATTGTAGGGGGTTAGCAAGTCACAGAGGTAGTGGGGACCAAGATCATGGAGGGCTTTGAAGGTGAGGACCAGGATCTTGAACTGTATCCTCTGAGTGATAGGAAGCCAGTGGAGTCAGACGAGGATGGGGGTGATAGGGTCACAGAGCCTGGTGTGGGTGAGGACACAGCTTCTGGATGATCTGCAACCAATGGAGGGAGAAGTTGGAGAGGCCGACAAGCAAACAATTTGCATAGTCGAGACTCGATGTAATGAAGGCGTGTGTGAGGGTTTCGGCAGCCTGCGGTGTGAGACAGTGGCGGAGCCGGGCAATATTGCGGAGGTGGGGGAAGGCAGAGTGGGTTATGTCACATATGTGGGGTAGAAAGGATAGTTGAGGGTCAAACAAAACACCAAGGTTCTGGACTGGCTTAGTGAGGTGGAGTTTGCAACCATGGATGGTGATGCTGTCAGCGCCTGAGGTGAGGAGGTGCTGACGGGAGCCAACCAGGAGGGCCTCGGTCTTGTTGATGTTCAACTGTAAAAAGTTAGCTCTCATCCAGGACTTGATGTCTGACAGACATTCTGTCAGGACAGCAGTGGTCCTGGAGTCAAGGGTAGAGGCAGAGAGGTACAGTTGAGTATCATCAGCATACATGTGGAAGTTGACCCCCATGTCTGTGGTTGATGTCACCAAGAGGGGGCATATAGATATTGAAGAGGAGGGGACCAAGAACAGAGCCCTGAGGAACGCCGCACGAGATGGTCTGGGGTTAGAGGAGAAACCGTTTGAGGGGATGAAGTGGAGGTGGTGTGAGAGGTACGATCTGAACCAGTCAAGGACAGAGCCGTAAAAGTTGAGGTGAGAGAAGAGGTGGTGGATGAAGATAGAGTGGTCGATGGTGTCAAAGGCAGCAGAGAGGTCAAGGAGGACGAGGAGGCAGAGGGAGCCCTGGTCACAGATGGACAGAATGTCATTTGTCACTTTCAAATTCAAAGTACTTTCAAAACCTATCACATGCTGCCCCATGTTTGGAATTAAGTGAATCTCCAGCTTCCTGAGCATTCAGTTGAAATAGCGTGTGCTGAATGTTACAAACTAGTACGTTCCCTTTTCGGTGCTCAGTTAAATGATCTCAGTTATTGCAGCAGGAGGGTTCAGGCAGGGAAAAATTAGCCAAGTTACAAATGTTGTGTGAACGCAGTGAGGCTGGACTTTGCTGTTCCTGACAGATAAACAAAATAACCCACATACACTCACTGTCCAGACTTGCACATAAAGAACAGTCACTTCCGCTGTTTTAAAGCACACACATGGAACTGTGTCTCAGCACGAGTCAGTGCCTTTAGGAGAGCAGGGGGATGGGTAAAGGAAACTAGTTAAGCAAAAATCTACCTTAATAGCACAAATTGCTCTGTTTTATTTTGACACCGAAACGAAACTTACATTTTACGGTGTTAAATATTCACAGTTGAATTTAGGTCCATCATTCCTTTCTTTGCATACCACAGAGCTGGAACAGTTCTGATGAAGGAAGACACTCTAAACATTAAGCTGTTTTCCTCTTGTGGATGGTGATTTGCATGTTGTGCATTGCCAGCACTTTTTGCTTTCCTTCAATTAACATATTCCCTTGGCTGATTTCTCTGACCCATTGGAGGAGGAAAGTCAAACAGAATGAATATAAATACAGTAAAAAATCTAATAATAAAAACATTTTGTTGATGCTTGTAATGATTTTTAATAAACTGAATAAAAATAGCTTTCAAAGCTGTCAGTAGCTTGAGAAAATCACATTGATAACAACAACAACAAAATAACATTTATAGAGCGTCTTTCACGTCAGGAGGACGTCCCAAAGCACTGAACAGTCAGATGTCGGGGTCCGAGCATGGGGGAGGGGTGGGGTAAGGGTGAAGGAAGGCAAAGAGGTGGGAGGGTCTTGACACCGGCCTTGAAGGAGGCAAGGGAGGAAGCGAGGCGAAGGGACTGTGGGATGGAGTTCCAGATTGTGGGAGCAGAGAGGCTGAAAGCCCGGCCACCAATGGTAGGGCGGATCGGGCGGAAGACATGGAGCAGGGAGGAGCCCGCTGAACGGAGGGAGCGGGCAGGTTGGTAGGGAGTCAGCAGGTCAGAGAGGTAGGAAGGGGCAAGGCCATGGATGGCCTTAAAGGTGAGGACAAGGATCTTGAACTCGATCCTCTGGGGGATGGGGAGCCAGTGGAGTCGGGCGAGGGTGGGAGTGATGGGGTCACAGAGCCTGGTGTGACAGAGTACATGAGCTGCAGAGTTTTGGATAAACTGGAGCTTGTGAAGGGAGAGTTGGGAAGGCCGATGAGGAGGCAGTTTCCATAATTGAGCCTTGATGTGACGAATGCGTGGGTGAGGGTTTCGGCAGCCTGAGGGGTGAGGCAGTGGCGGAGTCTGGCAATGTTGCGGAGGTGGTGGTAGGTCATGGCACGGATGTGGGGGAGAAAGGACAGTTCAGGGTCAAACAAGACACTCAGGTTCCTGACTGGTTTAGTGAGGTTGAGTGTGCAGCCATGGAGGCTGATGCTGCCAGCGCCCGAGGTGTGGGGGCGCTGGCGCGAGCCAATCAGGAGGGCCTCTGTCTTGCTGACGTTGAGTTGGAGAAAGTTGGCCCTCGTCCAGGATTTGATGTCGGACAGGCAGTCGGTCAGGACCTCAGTAGCCCTGGAGTTCAGGGTAGAGGCATAGAAGTAGAGTTGGGTGTCATCCGCATACATGTGGAAATTTACCCCATGTCTTCATGATGTGGTTAAATTACATTTCAATCCTTTCTTCTCTGGGCGACTTTTACTTACCTGATAGTAACACTCATTGATTGTTATAAAATAAAATTTTAAATATTCCTGAATATATAGGTACTAAAAGATTTTCAAGTAGAATCGATATGGAATTATTGGGCAGTAGCAGGTTCTTTATACACCAACTGGGGACCTTACTAGTCTGTAAGGTTCAGAGCTCTGGGACACGACCCTGCGTGAGGAGCGCTATATAAATACAAATTCTTGTTGCATTTGTAAAGCAAATGTGGATTCATTCCACAATAATCTAGTGTGGTCAGTGCCATTTTGTCACTGTCAATAGTTCGGCCTGACTCAGTTGGTAGCACTTTCACCTCTTGAGTCAGAAAGTTGTGGGTTCAAACTAAGGTCCCATCTGTCTGTTCAGGTGGATGTTAAAATTTCCATGGCACTATTTGCAAAGGAAGGGAGTTTCTCCTGTGACCTGGCCAACAGTCCCCAAGATTAAAAAAAAGGTTATTCACTTCAATAAGTGTGTCTGGGCACAAAGGTGGACAAAATGGTGAGAGCTTCAACTCCAGAACCTGTTGTTAGGTGGGTTTCATGGCGGTCGAATTAAAGTGGAAGAATCCTCGTGCTGACAGGCACATCTAGCACAGTGGCCATCTCGCCGAGATGTTACTCTATGTGAAGCTGAAGGGCACTATATCACTGCAAGTTGTACTTGATCTAAAAAGCGAATATAAGAATTGTCCAAAATCTGCATCCTAAAATAACAATAAGTTGCATTTATATAAGCCCTTCACACAGGACATCATCTCAACCGCTTAAAATGCTAAGAAACAAAATCTAAGTCTAGACACAGGGGTTCCATTCCCCTCAGATCTCACACAATATATTTAGATAGAAAGCATGACACAGGCAGCAGCATGATCACAGGTGTCACCATATGAGACTGGCTAAATAACTCCTGAGTAACAAATCATAAGTAGTCTCATGAGTGATGCTTAAACCACACTGTTTCCTACAGACTGTTCTATTTATAACACTTGTAATGTCCTCAGCTGAACAAATGTGTATTTCAGCCGCTTCTTTAGTCTGGTTCTAGGGTGAGAAGATGATGCTGCGATGCAGAAAACTCACCTGCTGATGGCCCGGAGGCGAAAGGCGTTGAGTCTGATGTTGCTCAGTGTCTGGTTCTATGCTGTTAAAATCATCCAGATCCTTTCTATTAAGCTTATTGGAAAGAGGGCTAGAAGAAAAGATCAGGCTCGGCTATAATTGCCCCCTCTGGTCAAATAGCTACAATGCTAAAAGATTGTATAGTTGAAGGATGACTGGGAGCAAAGTACTGAAGGACCTCTGTTAATGTAGAACGTACCTGATTGTAGGACAAAACTGTAGCGTAGGACAAAAATGGACAGAAAGCTGCTTTGGGATGTTGAACCATTGCAGAAGCAATTTCTCCATATGAATGTTGCACTCTATATAGCCATTAAAGTCACTATCAGTTTCACAGAGCACACAAATTGCTTTAACAAAATGGGGTTGAGCACTATCAATCACTATCCATTTCAGAGTGAAAGCTTGTGCTCTAAGTGTCAACGTAGCAGTATTTGGTTCTGATGATAACAGCTGAAAACATTTCAATCCAATCCTTGCATTTGATATAGCACCTTATCACCTTGTTGAGACGTCCCAAAGCGCTTCACAGAATATACTGTCAAGTGAATTAACTGTATATTTTGTGGGTAAAACACAACAGCCAATTGCGCACAGCAAACAGTCATGGATTGAGTGACCAATTTTATTAATTAANTTTTTTTGAAGGGATTATTACCCCAAAATGTGGATCGAAGGTTTCACCATATGGGACTGGCTAAATAACTCCTGAATAATAAGTCACAAATAACCTCATGAGTGATACCTAAATCACATTGTTGCCTACAAACTGTTCTATTTATAACTCGTGCAATGTCCTCGGGTGGATATAAAAGATCCCATGATATTATTCAAAAAGAGAAGGGAGTTTACCCAGTGTCCTGGTTAACAATCTTCAAGATTAATATTAAATACAAGGATTATTATTATTAATATTATTAAAGCAATCGCCAATCGACTAACAACCGGGTTCCTGCTTACTGCTAGGGAAACAGAGGTGTGTGGAGTAAGGAAACTTGCTTAAGGTTTCACCCTGCCTGGAAATCAAATTTGGTTAAACGACATGTTAAAATCCACAATCACTGACAGCAGATATAGTACAAGAATGAGGAACCAAAAGAAATACAGCTAGCAAATCCATCAAACAAATATCGTAACAAAATTGCATAATAAATAGCAGATTTACCTCACACTTAAGCCATACCTCAAGGAGAATGGGGAGAGAGCTTTCTTACTGCTGGAAACTCTGGGTTGATTCCAAATCTACTGGCCCTTTTGACGGATTCAAATAATAAATTCCATGTAAACTCAATCAGTAAGTACATAAAAGCAGGCTGATTAACAGCTGATAGCAGAGTTAGAGGTGGGTCTGTTTGGATTAGCTGGACGATGAAGTGTGTTGTCAGGTACCAACATTTCTTTTGTACTCATAAAGATGAAGCATTCGTGTTCTATGAAAGAAAATAATAGTTTAGCAAATATCTGACGCTGTTCCCATCAATTTTCCTCAAGTATTCAAACTAGAAATTCTGACCACACTTTTAGATTACAGAGCTTTTCTGTAGAATGACGTAATTGTGTTTTTGTTGATGAGCATAGCAGCAAATTTGTGTGGTGCAATGTCTCATAAGCATCCATGAAGTAAACAATCAATTTTATTTGAGGGATTGTTGGCGAGGACACTTTCTCTTTTTGAATAGTGCCGTGGGATATTCACTGTCCACCTAAATAGGCAAAAGGGACCCTGGTTTAATATCTTATCCAAAGGACAATGTAGTGTACCCCCAGTGTATAAACATGTGTGTATATATGTACATATGTGGATATGTAAATCTTGCATATGTGTACTTGTTAGTGCAAATGTGTGCTTAAATGCGCATGTGTGTGCTTATATGTGGGCTATCTTCATGTTTCTGTTGGGCACACCACATCCGAGCTCTAACCTGCCCTAACCTAATCTCTACATCCATATTTCCGACAGGTGACACGGGGTGAAGATCAGGAAAGATCCCCAGCTGATTTTTCCCCCTTCTTTCTCCAGGGAAATTGAGACTATTTTGTAGTATCCTCACTGCTGAGAAATTGAGTTTAACTCTGGATCAAACCTTGATCTTCATGATCTACGTGAAACTTTAAATAGTTAGTATAGTGTTTAAAGTCTGACATAGTTCTATTTTTATTTTATTTAGTGGTGATACACTGATCTTCTAATTCAAGTAGGCTGCCTACACCAGGAATTGGAACTTTTTCCCCTCTACAGAGTAAATTGGGACTTGAAATACACTGGCAGTTGACTCTGCATTGATTGATGTGTTTGAAAGAAAACTGGACAGTATCTGTTTGAAAAGGGTAATGTTGGATAGAGAGATAATGCAGCCTGAAATAACCAAATACTCTACAGGTCACAATGGTTTCTGTGCTCCTGGGAGCGAGGGAACAGTGGATGTTGTCTGGGGAGTGAAAGAGACGAGGTTTAAATAGAGCAGGTAAGATGTGGGGTTTGATGAAATGAGTACCCTTGAGGTTCAGGGAGCATCTGTGCAAAACATTATACCAAAGGGGGAAGTACGCAGCAGTATTTTTCTGTGGTATGTGGGAGGGTGGAATTGATGGAGCAAAGTGTTCTTTATGAACCCATACTTTCTTATGATTTTACGACAGAAGACTTGCAATAAAAATTTTATATAAATGAAAGTTTAAAACTAAAGTGCTCCTTT